AAAATTTACATTTTATGAATGCAATATAGATCTACTTTTAATAAGACTGTTGAAAAAAAGATAAAAAAGCCATGTGACAAAACGATTAAACTAACGACCAAACCGTTTATCCATTTTCAGAGCCATAAACTTCAAGATCACGGTCTGAAGTTCGCATCGGGAAAGTACAGCCCAAGCTCGAGTCCAAAACTGAACAGTATTGATAATGGCGAAACAATTACCAGTATGTACAACACCATGATTTCCCGCCCTAGCTCTGAATCAAGCTTCTCGTCAGCAGACAAAACAATCATCTTTGTTACAAGACGCTTTGACATCATCGTATGTTCTCCCGGCCAGTATCGCATCAGACGCGCTGAAATAGCTGGAAATGCATACACCGAAAAAAATTAATTTCGTCCTTTGGGGAGAAAATATGCATGGCGTGTCCTTTTTGCAGTCAGAACATTTAAGTGTAAGGCTGATCTGGAAAAGCACAGTAAAATCCATTTGAACCACGGGTTCACAGAAGTGCAACATTTGCGATGAAGTTTTTGCGAGTTCCGGTATACTTGCAGAGCATAAGCTGACACACTGTAAAAATACAGCAAGGCAACGTCTGCGTTGGCTTGTAAACTTTTCAATACGGAGTGAGGATCAATTTTACCTCCACCTCACAAGAGCATGGCTTTCAAGGGGCGGTAATGCAGTGCATCGTATGTCGCCAGACGCTTGCTTCCATGTTAGAGTTACAGATGCATGGTAGACACCATTTCCAAAGTAAATCCTCCTTTCATACGTGCTGTGTATGCTTGAATAAGTTTCGAGACAAGTGAAAACTTGGTTTCCAAAATAAACAGCTCCGGACGGACATACTATGTATGCAAACCTTGTTACCATGGAAACTCTTCAGAATTTTCATGCAAACCAGTGCAGCGCCTCGTTTTCATCAAAATCCGGGTTAGAGCTTCACGAGGCATCCCACAAAAAGTCCTACCAATGTATTAAATGTCAGGAATCATTCAGCAGCGAGTATGAAATTCAAAATGCACGTAGCTACACACATGATGACGGGAAGGCAACGTGCACGAGTGTTTCTTGTGCTGTGTCATTTTAGATTCTCCCGCCAAATTACAGTGTCATTTGATCGAACATACCTTCAAAAAATCAGAATACAAATGTAGCGCATGTGGGCGTGACTTTAAATCCGCTATGGATATCCAAGCGCATGCGCTAGAGCACGGCGTCACAGCCAGGCGATTTGCCTGCAACCAATGTACTCAAAGGTTTTTCTTCAGTGCGGAGCTAGAAAACCACAAGTATTTGCATAAAATGAAATCTGATCAAATGGGAAGAGCAAATTCGTCTACAAACAAATCTCTTACTATTCAGCCGTTAAACACAAATACGCTTGATTACCTTTCTACAAGTCCAGCATCTTCTCCAATGGAGCACATCTCTAGTAAAGTAAGTCACCACTCGAAAGCAAATTCCGACGACGGGTTTCATTGTTCCAAATGTGAGGCAAAGTTTTCAGATGTATTTGAACTAGCAAGTCATTTACAAGGAATTCCACAATGATTTGGAGAAGAAAACACACAAATGTCCGACATGTCCCGAATGGTTTGGTACCGTGGTACAGCTGCAGGCCCACTTCTTTGCTAGACATGCGTCAAGAGAGCCGGACAAAAAACCCAAGTACTCTTGCATGGAGTGTGGAAAAGAATGTTCCTCTGAGCATAATCTTTTAACCCATATGAATACACATAGGAAAGGTATAAGAACTTTTATTCATTCTTTTAACACTAATCAAACATTTGATTTTATAATATGTGTTAATATACTGCATGTTTATATTTAAAAAAGCCATACTTTACATATTTTTTATCAGCAGTATCCTATATTTGAAACGTATAATGTTCAGGTAAATCTATCAGGAACATGAAAGATATATTATATTGCGTAACCTGTGTGCATATATTGAGGTAGATTCGTGGTTAAAGTAATGTTAATAAATGCGATGAGTTCGGTATTGTCTCATTTTATCGATGCTTAAAAGACTACGAACATTAATGTTTAACATTTCGTTTAGGAAGCAAGATAACTTGTCCAACATGTACGAGGTCATTTACATCATCCAGTGGGCTGTCAGCACACATGGCCGGACTCTGTGGTCAGAAACAAAGCCACGAGTGTCCAGTTTGCCATAAAACGTTTACAAGTAAGTTATAAACACTGTAGAATTTATTTTAAACGATATTTTAGATAATTTGACGAATTCACTTTATTGAAACGATTGTAATACTGCACGTTTGTAACATCGCTTTTCATTGGATAACCGTGACGTTTATATAGTTTTATAGACACGGCTGCTGTCGATTTATAAAGAAATCTCGCTTTATTCCTCTAAACATGATGCTTGCTGTATTATAAATCCGTTATAAATATTCCTGACAGGTTATATGGCCGTATATAAACGGTCGTTTGCAATATAACCCTCGCCTAGCGACTCTGGTTATATTTACAAACAACCGTTTATATATGGTCATATAACCTGTCAAAAATCTTTGTAACTTATAACATAAACTGTTCATCCCAATTGCTGGTGTATATGCCATCAGGGCCCTTGTAGCTGAGAGGTTGCTTTTAAGGACTTGCAGCAACTGTTTAAACTTGCGTGATCGTAAGTAGCGAGTAATTGGGTAGAGTCTATGCATATTGCTCAGCTCCAGCAGGTGAGATGGTTTGATCCCTGTTGTTGCTTAGTATGTAGCATCCGAGGTTAGCAAAAATCATTTTTCCCGATATGCCATCAGAATATTATATGATAATATTCTCTATGTTCGATTTCAGAATGCTGACCAATACTCGAATACCTTAAAGTGAATTAATTAGTTTATCTTACCAATTATCAGTTATTAAAACCAGCCATATAAAACGATGGACATATGCGTGTTTTTTATTTTACACCCGTCTAATCTGGACAAATGGAAAAAAATCCAATGTGAGAAAATATCTCCAATTTAACATATACCTATATGATATATATGACACAAAATAGTTTAACGACTTAAACGATTAACATATTGTATAACTTAAAAAAAAATTGCTTTGCTCCATGGGATCTGGGCTGGGAAAATAAGAAAGACTGAAATGGGACTTGAAAATTCGCTCGGTTTTGCGGGAATCCGGATTGTAAAGATTACGGATACCGGCTTTTCACTGTCAAATATTTTACTTTTTAAACATGTGTTAATGCTTATCTTTCTTTGTTATTCAGAGAAGAGTAATAAAATGGAGCACATGAAAACTCATAGTGGTGATAAGATATACCCGTGCACATCGTGCGGTAAATTGTTCTCAGGAAGAGCAACTCTGGACGAACACATGAAAATACACCAGGTACTTTACTAGCTTTTGACATCATGAAGTTGACTAAAACTAGTGTTGACGTGTATTTTTATAACTCTTGATATATCCAAGAATCATTTATTGTAATATTAGCACTAACAAGTAAAATATTTGATTAAATTTGGTGAACTGCAATTTAAGACTTTTTACATCATTTGTAACAATCATATTACGGAGATTTCAACTGATTTAGCAACAACCAGAAACAAAAATATGATTTATAGATCGTTTTAACAAATATAGTAAGAAATGCACACGAAATTTGTCTTAGCAAGAAGTGCAAAAATAAATATTTTATGTTCTACAGGAAGTAACAATTGAAGATGATCAGCAGGCGGAGTCAAGGAGTGGAACAAGTGAGGAAACTCCTCCCTCTCTTGGCAATGCCAGTGATGAGGATGACTCCTCCCACAACATCTCAGACGTCGAGAAAGACTGTATGAAACAGGAAGTGACCAGCACGAGCAATATAGCAGAAGATTCAAACGAAGCTAAATGAAACTTTCAAATGGCTGACATTTATTCAGTTGGCTTTGTGTTAAGGACTTTTCCTGCTTTTAACGACTCTTTGGTATTTTAAAGTGGTTTAAGTTTAAGAAGCCAACAAGTTAAAACCAGCTTCGTACGATGACTCATTCAGGGTAACAAACACGTGTTTTACCTTAGAACTCTTACATGTGCAGTACATATTGTACTGACTAAACATAAGGACGTTCCTGTATATAATCTCAAAATTAAAAGAAATATACTTTACCTGTAATGCATTCCTAAAGATCTGACAAATTTTGACTGGCTCCTTTCATATGACGTTTGTGATGTAAAGGAACTTTATTGACAAAGTCTAAAGTGTTTACTTGTGTTGCTGGCGACGAGTGAATCTATCCATGCGACATGGGCTTTACAAGGTACGCCGGTATACTCATGCTGTCTGATCATGGTCTGAACTGTTGGCTATTCATTCAGTGAATATTTGTCCTAAAAAGGAAAAAGGAGATGAATTGTTTTGTCCAGATTAAAAGATGGATAAGTCCATGTAAGGTATTCCCTTTACACATTTGTAACACCAGTTAGCCACTTACAAATGCGATTTCCATTCGTAACAGGTGTTTCAGATGTGGTCCGTTACGAATGTGGTCCAACAATGCTTCCTGGCCATATTCTGCATTGTTTGCTATTAAGTCAGTACATATTTTGACATTTTCCCAAAAAGGTGATGAATGTTTTTTTCCAGAAGTCCATTTAAGACAATAGTTAGCCTTGTAAGTCTTAATTTTCTTCTCAAGGGGAGACTTAATCTTTTCGTTAGAGACATTTATAGTATTAAAAATGGCAATTTGATGCATGTTAAAAATAACTATACAATTAACTAATTTATATTCAGACTTTGTGAACAATGTTGTTTTGAATTCATTTAATTGTTTCTTGTTTCACAAGTCTGTTATTTAAGTCTGTAGATGTTATCCTTTTGTTTTGTTTCTTGTTTAATTAATGTAACACATGGTCAAGAAGTGCTTTGGGTACTAATTTAAGTAAAATATTGACGTATCAAATCACGTGCCATCTTGTCATTGTTGTAAAGTATTGACTGTACATTCCTTCATGTTGAACTGTTTATGTAGTTTATATTGAATAAAATTGTGAAAAAAATATCGAACATATGTTATTATTTCTTTTTCACGACTCAATGCATATTTAGAAGCTATCATTTTCGACAATTTGAGAATACATTTTTTATTTATTTACTTACATAGATACAATTTCTCTCATGTTACTGTAGCTATATTAAAGCAATGCTTATTGGTTATGTTTGGAACTTAGTGTCATATACTTACAGTTAGCTTACGGAACGTCGGTGGTTCTACTCAGGTGTTCGTGCCTGAATTAATGCACGGAAGGGCACCTGAGGTCTTCCTCCACTATTTAAGCTGGAAGGAGTGTGTGTATTTGAGTTTATTCATACTCGCCACCGGTTGCCCATATGGTCGAGACCTCCAGAAGAGTATTAGTCATTTTATTATATACTTTGGAGGATAGTGCAAGATACAGAAAGATGCCCCAATTGCAGAAGCTTCTCCTGGTTCTTAACGTGCCAAGTGTTTAAGCACTCATACACGGGTCCTCGATTTAAAGACTCATCCGGAAGACTGATTAGTAATTTTAGTTGGCCAGTCAAGGAATCGAACCCACAATGTCGAGATTACAAGTCTAGCGCTGTAACCGATTGAGCTATGCGGGCTTGCTACACAGCTGGAACGTCGCCGTATGACCTAATAATATACTGTGTCGATGTGACGTAAAACCCAATAGAACAAACTCACAGCAGAGGCTTACCGTGGCTGCTGCGAAAAAAGCAGCAGCTAACAAAACGGGGTCGGTGGCGGAAGGAAGACTGTAATTAACTACAATTTTGTTATAATCATGGAATCTGGCCGATATGTCGACTCTCTCTGCGATTTGGATTAAAGTTTCACTTTTTTAAGCAAAAAATTACTCTTAACATGTGATTTAATATGAGTCACTCTATACATATGCTACTCAAAATTTGCTACGGATGACCTTTTTGACATTGCATATTTAAGTCTTATTATCATCATATTAAAATCATATTTCCGCTAACGATTCACATTTACGGGGACCTCATAATCGTGGATTTGTCATGAACATCTTGCACGAAAAGCACATGGAAAGGCATACCCATGGAAATTTGGTGTTTATGGCCATGTGCTATCACGTAAACGTGTACAAGCAGAAAGACTTCTCTCGTTTTATTGTAAAACTGTGTTCAAATTAACAAAACTATGGCAAATCGACAGGTAAGACAGTTAATGATTGGACCCCGGTCTTCTTCACTGATGAGTCAAGGTTTTGTGTGGACTTCACGGACAGACGGGCTATGGTTTGGAGAAGTCCAAATGGACGCTAAGCTCCAGCATGCGTTGCAAAACACGACTGTGTTGGCGGGGGTTCAGTCATGGTGTGGGCGGGACTAAGCGCTCAGGGGAAAACGGACCAACACATCTTTGAAAACGGTACACTGACTACAGTAAGGTACGTCGATGAAATCTTAGACGTCCATGTACGCACGTACGCTGTTGCAGTCGGCCCTGATTTCATTCTTATGGATGACAACGCCCGTGCACACAGAGCCAACATCACAAACCGATATCTTGAGGAAGCAAATATAGTCCCCATGGTTTGGCCATCGAGGTCCCCGGATTTAAATCCAATTGAGCATGCTTGGGATATGCTGCAGAAAGCCATTTCTTCATGCCACGTTCAACCAACAACAGTTCGATCAGGAGCTAAGCCATGCAATCATAGAGGAATGGGCCCAGATTCCTCATTACAAGGTCCGCAGGCTCATCAGCAGCATGCGGCGGCGATGCCAGGCCGTAATTAATGCCCGCGGACACCATACTCGGTATTAAACACCCTATGCCAAACATTTCCTGATTTGCAAGATTTTTTTTTATTCCACTATCTTCTCCAAATGTTGATTTTCGTTAAGCACACTTTTCGCAACTGGCACACATCAAGGAACACTTCCATTGTCATTATTTTCATAAAAATCAATTTCTAACTAATTATATTTAATTCCTTTTAATCAATTTTCACATTTATTACTAATACACACAAAAGTAACGCACTGTAGAAAAAGTGATCCTTAGCAAATTTTGAGTAGTATATATAAAAAATGATTCATAATTTATATATTATAAACATAAGAGCGAAAACCGGACAGTCGATGCAAAAAAGTATATCGAGATGAAATGCAAAATGGTTAGGTAGAAAAGTAGCTGATACAAATAGTCTGTTGGTACCTTACGGAGCGGAATCACAGGCATTTGGGATATTTTTCAGGTCAATGCATGTTAAGATAAAGAATAATATCTTAAAAATAATCTCACTTCAATAAACAAGGACAAAATTACTACCCATGCAGTCAGTATATGGTATATGTATTGTAATGGGATGCAGGATAGAAATTTTGTCCTTGAATATTAAAGAATTATTGACTAGAAATGTGACAAATGCCTGTGAACTGAATCATATTCCATTGAAATACAGGAATATGCAATGAAGACAAACACAATTTAAATATCAGTTCATACCCAAATGAATTTGGCGAGCATATAATATGCAGATAAGTTAAAAGGTTAAGTATATGTATGTTATCTGTATTCTATGTAAGATTACATATCACGTATCACATGCTATTATAATATATTTAATAGATATGAAATCTGTTTATGGATCAATTTATACCAAACTTCTAAAATGAATTCTGACCACACTACCCACATAATGCCTGTCAAAGTAATTGTGGTGCTATATATAATGCTTGGGTGTGCGTCTTCTTTTCTTCTCGTGAATTCAAGTGCTAACATAGGAGTCAATGAGTATAGGGATCTTATTAGTCTACTCGTTGATGAGAAAAACGCAAGGCATATGCTTGAAAATAGACTGGATAAACTGGAACAATTCAACCTAGCAGTTACTAAGGAGCTTCAGAAAGACAAGAATAATCGCCAGCAGTTAATTGATGAAAATACAAAGATAATCAAAGATTTAGAAAACGCTTCGAAACATCTGACAATCTTACAGCAAGAGAATGATTTATTAAAAGAAAAATATGTAAACCAAAGTTATGTTGTAGACGAATTGTTGGAGCAATCAAAGATGAATGAAAATTTAACGGACCAATTTCAGAGTTTGTCGAACAGTCAGGAGCACCTTTTGAAGAATTACCATGTCTTACTTGACCAGTATTTAGCTTTCACTAGCCAAGATAAGGCCAATTTTGTTGAAAAACATGACTTTAACCAGGCTATAAGTAGAGTTAATAACAGTTTACTGTATGCGAATGAAAGCATTCACAACATAACTCTGCAGACGTCGCTGAATCGTGAAAAAATATTGAAAACAGGTAAATGCTATCAATTTTTTTTTTGGTAATAAATACTGATTTCAATTCAATGGCCTGTATAATTATAACATTTTTGTGTATAATATCTGTAAAATTATCCATTTCTATATTTCTTCAGAATTATAAATTAGATCTATATACCTTTATTTTTACAACATTTAGATATCCAGCTTGGATTCTCTTTGAAAGTGGTCGACAAAGCAGCCTCCAGCACGAATCGTCTTAAATTTAAGACTTCACTTTTTAACACAGACCACGTGTTCAACTTGTCAACCGGAGAATTCATCTGCACTCGAGCTGGTGTCTATTTCTTTACAACGACAATTGTACGTGAGCCTGGAATAAAGGAAGCTTTCTGTGAAATACGTATAACACGAAGGAATTCTAATAATATAATTGCAACACAGATAACTGTTGGTCAAGCGAGCAGTACTTCTGGTTATGCGTCTGGTACGAATTCACTCGTATATCATCTCAATGTTGGCGATAAGGCCTCTCTGTCTTATTGTCATGGTATAGATCATATGCATTTGTCCTCGAGTTTCAGTGGGTTCCTTATTGTTTCAGACTAAAGCTCAAATACTTATTTACATCCGATTGAAGTAAATTCTGATAGGCATACTGAATAAAGATAAGATAATTTGATACCATTCAGAACTTTCACATTTAATTCCACATGTTACGAGGGTTTATCCAGATGTTTGTGGACTTTTCTTCTAATTGTGTTAACAATGGGCCGATTAAAAAAATATGTATCGTTACAAACCACCACCTTCCTCAGTATGATTTCATGAAATCTCTAGAAAACAAAATCGTTTAGTGCCGTTAAAACGTGTTTATATTACCTGAGTAACGCGTCAACGCCCCCGCCCATACGTTATAAGATACAATACATGTATTATAACTGGTAGAAAACAAATCAAAGGGCTGCAAGCTCTGTAGTATTTTCTGATCTTTGCAATCTAAATCGTATTGTATATCTGTATGTATTTTCCTGTATAACTTTATTTTTATATACTATAATTCACCTTGCAGGGCACCGAGATGCAGCGACTGTGTTTGGATTTTTTACTTTCACAGTTTGAGTTTGATACATACGGAATTTTGAATGACTAGTTGCATCAAAATTCATTTATGTTCATTGTTTTGACAGCCACACTCTATCCTATATCCTGCATATCGTGGCTACTTCCTTAATAAAAATAAAAAGTTGCCTCGACTGGGATTTGAACCCCAGACCTGTCACACCCTAAACGTGCGCGTTACCCCTGCACCACGGAGATATTTAACGACAACAGCCTGAATAAAATCCAAAAATTCTAATTTTAGAATATCCATGCAGGGTTTGTAATCCCACAGATATATAAATCTTATGTTTAGCTCCATGGTAATCCTTATTAATTTCGAAGTATTTTGTTCACGATATACCTGTTGTTTAACATTGGTGCAAATAATTTAGGAAAATCTTCTCACCAAAACAGTCCGACATGTCTATATTCCACTACTCGACAGTGTAATACGCTTTGAGGTATTCGGTAATCGACATCGCTAAAAATAGCATTTTCATATTCATCCGCGTAATTGGTGAATTGACAATTCTATAACCCAACGCTACATTTAAACTTTGGATGCGTGGTAATTTGTTTGATACTTGTAACAAAATAAAAATAGTTCTTTCTTTAACATCGCTAGTTTTAAGCTGTTTTGAGAACTACTTGTTGTTAGGTTTGTCGTGAAGTTTCTGTGTCAGAGATTGAATGTCAGCATTGAATTTTCTGAAAAATCATTGCAGATGATTATATGGAGAACAGGACATTTGATACTGTATCAAACAAAATAAATTGGTTCAAAGTTTCAACCAACTGTTACCTTGGTGAATTTTTATGCATCGAAAGAAATAACACTTCAAGCCCGATTTTTTCGAGGACAGAATTCGAGCTATTGCTACAGTCATGGTCCGTTCCAGTTGCAGTCATCGGTCACAATTTCTATATTATCTTTTTATTGGTTGCCCTTATACATGTATGAGGACATCTAAAAATAGAGAAATAGAGAAAATAAGAATCCCTAAAGAAAGTCCAATACCGCACATTTGAAAATCTTGCAAGTTCGATACTGTCAAATGCAAACTACCGTCCACGCCCCCCCCCCAGCACCGGCTTAAGCAGAATTCAACATTTAATCATGAAATGGTAAAATTTTGAATTTAGAAACATCCGTGGTGGTAATCATGGAACCTTCAATGTGACACTTCCGTACCATTCCATGAAAAGCGTCGTATTGCCCCCGAGTAATAGACAGCGCGTGTCCTAAACGAAAAAACAATGGGCGGAACTAAACAAAATAGAACTTTGAGAGGGGATCAGAGGTTATCAAGCCTGTATATCACAGATAAGACGTCAAAAGACAAAGTTAAAAAAGCAGGCAACATATCCTAATGGTATTTCAACTTTTTTCAAGTATGAATATTGGAACCACCCAACTAGAAAATGCCAAATAGATATAATAATACTAAAATGTACCACAAATACAGCAATTTAAGGACCGAAAATATAACATCTCTGATTGAATGTACGGGGCGATTTTTTACAGCCTCCACACGACACGAACAACGCTCATGTGGTGAAAAAAAGAGCAAAAAAGAATTCATAAAGAAAGTCCAAAAACGGCAAAAATGAAAATGTTGCAGGCTCGGTTTGATTGAGCTTGTTCATAGACGTTACTGTCAAGTGCAAACTATCGTCCATGCCCCATAGCACCGCAGCATTCAACATTAAATTTTAAACATGAAACGGTAAAACTTTGAATTAAGAAACAGATGTGTTCATAAGGCGGTAATCACGGAATCTTCAATGTGACACTTCCGTGCCATTCCATCAAAAGCGGCGTATTGTCCCCAAGTAATTTAAATATCAATACTTTGAAAGTAATAAAACTTTTTGAGCTATACGTTCGTTTAAAATTTAAAACATGTCCACATGTGCTAAAAGTCTGCACTAAGAGTGACGAATACTGTTAACCATGATTCTTTGTAAAAAGATACCTGCAATAAAAAGATTTCAATTTAATCAACGACACGCTAATTTTTCTTAACCTTTCCATCCAGGGTCACTAGTTAAACCCAGAAGCTAATCAACTTATGTTCAACTTATTTCATAAATACAGTACAAGATATTAAGTTATTTTGCAGGAATCAGGATCACACATAATCCAGATATTTTTATATTATTATTATATTTCCACCATTTATCACATGGAACGTCGTGTTTAAGTGAGAATTAGTGTAAAATGCATCTATATATGTATGTCCATGGCAAAGCAGTCACCCCTACTAAAAATGGCTCATTCACATTTTGAGGATCTATTTAAATGAGTGCTCTCAATACTTCCACTGTAGAGCCCTTGGCCAAAACAAAGCTGGAAAGGTAAACACAGTTTCTAAATTCATTATATATCCGATTTTTTAAAGAATATGATTGTTTTCAAAAATCATAGAATGCTCTGCCACGTACAATATTTTCTAACTATTTGAGATGACCGAAGTTTCGATACAAAATATCCTTTAATAAATTTGCTAGAACTAAATTTGTACCAAACATTAACTTGTGTGATTTCTTTTCCATGGAAATACACATATTTAGTGATTTCTCTACCGTGAAGTTAATGTCAGTCCACTTTATATATCAGGCATGTTCCATAATCCCAACCTCCTCTTTGGCTGAAAACAAAAAAGTTCACAGACCTCGGTCAAAAATAAAATACTAGCATTTATTCAAATAAGACCCAACCAGAAGAAACAAGGACGTCAGATGCCTGCGTGACATAAGCCTGTTTTTTTCCCTGTATGGCGATGTGCTCTTCTTTCTGTGTAATAAACTCTTCGAATTAGTTTTGTGCCTACCGTTAAGATTCCGTTGCGGATAAGCGAAACCAAAAGCAAAACGGCTTGGAGAGTTCCTCGTGTCATTGCTTTTTTGGACCGGTGAGTCGTTCTTTCTGTTAATTGTCATTATCAAAAAAGAAAAAAAAAGGAACATACTTTTTAAGAACCAACCGTGTTTAACTTATCACACTTTGTCATATAATAAGTACAATGTGGTAGATTCTCATATTTTCAACATTCACCAAGAACAAACTTAAGACAAATGACAACAATGTTTATAAAATTTAACTTAGCTACATGTAGCTCTATACAATTTCATTCTTATAAACGTAATTATAGCCCTAGATTTCTTGCGCATACAATTAAATATGTTTTGCCAAAATTTATCTGACTTTTGGATCTATATAAACCATACAGTATCGTCTTTGAAAATTCATTATACTAGCAATTTTTTTTAACTTGCAAATGTTTTAATACATTGAATTGCAATCATCTCTTGTGTTTCGGCCATATGAAATGTTATTAAGAAACCTACGAAATCTAAGTACTTAAAAAATGGAACAAAAAATATGTTAGATTCAGCACATAAAATATAAAATGACGTATTCCAGCTTAAAAGCATTTTTATTTTGTTTCAAAACACCATGCACCTTTCTGAAAACAGTTTTTTGTTTGTTTTTACTTAGGTTTTCTTATAATAATAATAATAATAATAATAATAATAATAATAATAATAATAATAATAATAATAATAATAATAATAATAATAATAAATTAATAATAATAATAATAATAATAATAATAATAATAATAACAATAATAATAATGATAAACTCTTTATTTAACGAAGGTAGCTTATTAATTAAGACAATACATATCAAAACATTAGAGACAACACATAATGCAAAATCTAATTTTCAACAAGGCCTTCAAAAAAAACATAACAATGGACATATTATAAGTAATTATAAAGATTACAAACATTCAGTAAATCTTAATCAACAAAGAAGACAGACATAATATTATATTATAGTATAAAGTATATCTATTTAGGTCTTTTTTCTGTAATGATCATGTTTAGGTAATAATAAATGTTTGAATGTGATTTAAACAATTTAAGATATGAAGAATTTCTTATTTTTAAAGGAATAGTGTTTCATAAATCCATATTTTTTTTCATATTAACAGATTTACAATTTTATTATATTGTGAATTTACAAAGCTATCAAAATATTGATATAAATCATCATCCAGGCCTATACTACATCTATCAAAAGCCTTTCGTTTTATACTCACTTTCCGCGATTTAAGTAGAAACAAGGGAAGTCACTCTATTATACGTTTCAAAATGGAGGACGAAATTCCAGTGTCAGATTAAACAATTTTGTGTTTTATTTTGTCCCAGACTGTAAATAATTTAGCTTTCAACATGTGACTAAGGTTAATAAGTGTCCCAAAATGGATTCCGTCCAACAGTTAATGACATCGTGCGAGCAGGGCGATGTTGATACTGCACAGGCGGTGTTGGACGAGGGTCTTGGAGTCGATACTCCTGACGAAGATGAAAATACTGCTTTAATGGTCGCTGCAGGAAATGGACATGACCAGGTAGGAAAAATACTGTCATGTAGGGAGTGTAATAAATTCCAATAGAGATTTAATGATGGCTATCTTTAAGCACAAATGCACAGACACTGGGATTTGTGTTTGTGTGTGTGTGTGGGGGGGGGGGCAGAGGGTCTCTCAAGTTTTAAAGACATTCACCCCTCAAGACAAGTCACTCCCCCCCCCGTCCCCCCCCCCCCCCCGAAAAAAAAATCAGTAAGACACTTCACCCTGATACAATAGTCAAAATATATTGACGTGCCAAAGCTTGATTCTGAGATATTTTCGTTCTGGGGCAGAATCTCGCTTTAACGTCAAAACCAAAAGGAGACCTTTCTGTGGTGAAACGTGGATTTCGATGTAAATGTGAAAATGCAGACAATTTAAACTAAGAATTTATTCAACAATACAATTTTAAGGAATTAACAGCACAAAAAGTGCCAGACTATCAACTTAGAATAAAGTAAACCACGTTAGTTTCATTTCACTGTCTCATTTGTGTAACAACGCCGCCATATTGTGAGGTTGCTACAGTAAAGTAACATGTACGCTAAAAATCGATATTGTTCGGTACCTTGCGTGAATGTTGTCATTTTTTATTTGCGTGGCTAAAAAAATATGTAAAACTATTAAAAAGTGGAAATTTTTCTTAAATGATGTTATTATTAATTATATTTATTGCCACAATAAAATAAATCGCCAGGAAATTATCTTTAAATATTTTTGTAATTCATGATAGAAATCTTTAAAATGATGCGGAGTAACTTTTAATTTAGTCCTCTTTTTTATAAATATGTTTATTAAAGGTTAAGGATAAACTGTATTTCATTAAAATGTATATTGTCACCAATCTATTTTAGTATAGTTATGTTAGTCACAACTTGCTGTGTATTAAAAACAGCAACTCCTTGCCTATAGGAAAGTTTTGTTTTTCAAACATGCATTACGCTATGAAAGAATTCAAATGGTAAATTCTTGCGTTAATTTTTCATTCCTCAACTGTTTTCAGAAAAATAAAACTCGTTACTCCGAGCACCCATTTTTCGTTTGTCTGTATCTGAAAGAACCTGTGTACATGTACCATTTATTTATCCGTGTAATAAAAGACTGTTATCATAGCATGCCGTAATGGCCTGGATATTTCGTGTTGTTTAAGCGATGTTCCAGAAAAGTTTTGTCCCGGTATAGAAAATATATTCAACCTAATATTTATTTTCAAAATGTGTCAACTACATGTATTCCACAACGCCGACACCGGTACACTGGCCAATATACACTTCGGAAATGTTGACAATATTAATAATTGATGCGCAGTCCTGTTTCTTCCTTACTTAATTTCTTTGTGTCAACTATAAATTTCTAAGATTAAATCTTAAATAAATAAATTTGATTTTTTAAATTCGAGCCGTGATTCCTTTCCGGAATCAGTTAAACAATTTCCATGCTTTCCGGAATCAGTTAAACAATTTCCATGCCGACACGGTCCAAATTGAGAAGTTATTTTTAGATTGTATTACATGTATTTATTTTTCTATTTATAATTATAAATATACGTGATGATTTATTTCAAAGACGATAGTTTTATGCTTAAATTTCTTTCTTTAAAACATTTATGAAAGTTGTTTAAACGATGTTAAGAATTTAAATGTGTTACGGTCCCGAGTTTCCTCAGTACATTTTCCCGGCTTACCAATACCTTTGAATTTACGCAAGATATGCCAACTTTTTAAGTTTTGAGTTGTGGCATTTAATTATTAGGAATTTTTTTTTCTGGTTTTCTTTCTAAATTTACTGGAAGGTTAAAATCTTAATTTTCGTTCTTTATCAAAAACTCAAAAAAAAAATATAGAAAAAAGAACTGAGGAGGCGCCGTGATTTATTACCGATTTTATAAGTTCGTTTTCCAAAGCAACACCTTTTATATTTGGGCGGTAACAATCTGTATCTATTATTGTTTAAAATGAGTAATAGTGTTGAATAATACTTAAATCTTATAAGATTGGACAAGAATCATAGAAATCACAGACGCTTTGGCTGTGAAGCTCAAAACGCCTTTAAAATCCAAATAAAATGGTATATGGAGCCACGTTTGAATTTGTCGAAAGATTTTGTAAATGGAGTAAAACGGCGATAATCTCGATGTTTATTTTGCCAGTTGCATTGTTTATATTACCGTTGAAGTTTAAAATTGACCATCATCTTGAAGATTTATATCTTTTGTGTCAAAGGATTTTGTGAAAATATTGGAAACAGAATAAAATACATGGTGTTTTTGACGGCAGGTGTGCGGATTTTTCCGGCGAACATTTTTATCTTGTGTATTATTATAGACGTTGAAATATTTTTTTTTTTCAAAACGGCTTATATTTAGTTTTTTATACATATATGATCAGTACATGTGCTGGTATTGACAAATATACAATTTATTTGGATTTTAAAGCTCCACAGTGTCTGTGAAAGAAATTAGCGGCGCAGCGTTTTGTTTATGTAACATTGTAAAATAACCGCGTTGATTCTTCAAATCTCATCTCGCCATGCATGTATTTTATAAAAGAAAATTATTTCTTAGCATAAAAGTCAATTGTATGGGATAAATATTTTCTGTATACCAACATTATGAAAGTCTTTTGCAAAACAAAACAAAAAACAATAACAACAGCAAAATAAGGCCTGTTTCATGAAATAAATTTCTGAGTATTTTTCTCTGCTACCCCGGTCATTTTAAAACAATTTTCATACCTTCGTTTGTGTGTGTCTGTTTCTTTCTAAAAAACATCTTCAGAAAGCTTTTTGGAGAAAACTATCCAGAATTATGGGGCCTGCGTGAATAGATTTAAAAAAAAAATTTACGTGGAATTTTGTTTTCGCACATACATATAATGTCGAGCACCGCGTGTGACGCTTATTCGTTTTATTACTGATAAAAATTATTTTGAACATTGAAAGTATCGTTTAATAGTTAATCAACCTGATTATAAATAACAGACTGTTAAATTCCTTAGAATGGTGTTTTCTCGTAGTCGCAAAGGCACTAAGAATCCGTACGTTGCTCTTTAAACATATAAACCACATGTTTCTGCTCTTATCATATCCCTATTTCCATCATAATCGTTGAAAAATTCTATAGATACCAATAGGTCCCATGTCTTATATTTCCTTGGAAGCTGACCAAAAATATTTTTTTTTTAAACAAGAAACGGTTAGTAAGGAGTCCATTTACAGAGTAGCTTTGCTATAAACGATAATAATGATTTTGATATTTCTAAGAACGCTCTGACAATAACGAATAAGTTGTGGCATCTGCTGCAATAAAATAATATTTTCATCCTATCATAATTATTAATTTGCATGAATAAATGTCTTAAATATAACATTAAACTTGAAATTTTACTGATAGTGTTTCGTCTTTCTCAGTCACGCAGTACCCAATACACACCAGTTGTAGTTATCAACAGTGTATTTGTCACGTACATTAGCGGCGATGTCTTTATTTGATGGTGCATGTGTTTACTTTTCTATCAAAATCTTAATGTTAGGAAGATTTTCACAAATAAAACATGAAAATTGATGTAGAAATGAATAATCTTTAAAGTATCGTAACAAATTTATTCAAATATGAATTCTAATACGATTTTACACGGTCCAAAGCTTGCGCTCAAAATCCCGGCGCAAATTTCACCACAGAAAAGGTACTTTTTATGTTGTACGTAGAGGCGAGATATTGCCCAGACACGAAAATAGCACAATATCTCGTCGCGCAGTACAATTAGTTGGACTACCTGATACAATATTCACAATATATCATAGAAATTAGAATGATGTCAATACAAATTATTTAAAACTCTTATAATTTAAGTCTTAACTGTAAATCACAACATTTCAGTTTCAAGTTTGTTTAATTGAACACTGGATTAAAATTTCAGAGGTTTGCAGCAGGGTTTTCATTTATATTTAATATGAAAAAGGCAAAGCCTCAAAGCGAGCTCATCGAGTCGATTTTCTTTAATTGTAAAATAGTTTAAAATAATTGTTCATTTTTATTTTACATTTTCCGTTTTAAAATTGTCATTCTGTATTTTATACACTGCTTCCTTTTATTCTGATTCCCCCTTTCTATTATGGTTCCTATATAAGTGGGCAGGACACCAGTCTAAGCTTCCATTTTCAATCGGAGTACATAGGCTTTAATTGTTATCTTGTGATTCGAAAAGTTGCGATGTGTCAATTCGGTACTTCGGACGAAAGTTTTCAAAACCATCACTAAGCAGGTACTTGCGTTACCGTAAAGCTTGCTTTGCGAGCAGGCACTTCGGGCCAGCTAGCCGAGCTCGCTATTAACAGACTGGTGACCAATATCATCGATTGAAATGCTGTTAAAATCACTTGTAGATAAAAATATTACAGGGTTCTCCCTAGGACTCTTAAACATGGAGTCCATGGACTCCCAAGCCTGAAAAAGTTGGGAGTCCAAAAGCGCGTCGCAATTAATAATGTTTACAGATAAGTCATTTAATGCTCACACCATAGCATTACTGATATTTTGAATCTTCAAGAGACTTTCAAAGTTTATAGTTATTCAAAACAAACTCTGAACTACATAGTATAATTATTGTTTTGTTGTTTATATTTATTATGAAACAATAAAATTATAATGCATCAACGATCAACACGTGGAAATCGAAATTTTTTTTTCACTTTTATACCAAATCAAATTTTATTCTGGTTAGATAAGTCCAGACCTAAACTTTATTTTTGTATATAAGCAGCGTTTAGCGGAATGAATAGGAAAATCGTGTACAGCTTCACACAGTATGTAAGAGATTCATCCGATCCCCAATTATTTTAGCAAATATCTTCAAAGGGGGCAAATTGAAGATCGATATTTGAAGATTAAATGTTGATTAAATAACAAAGGAACAATTTATTCACATGTTTGGCTTGGAAACTGAGAATTTTTGTGCCCTTTGCAAAATTTTAGGGTTTCTGGTTCTGGCGAATGTGATGTTCGGATAGAAGCTAAATATCAAAGAAAAGCGTATGTGTATTTTGGTTTGTTGTCCTGGCATTTCGGCACAATATCTTAAATTCTTAATACTCTTATAGAACGTTTTTGCAAGAATGAAACTAAAGCAAAATTTTGTCTAGAAAATGCTGAAAATATTCGACAATAAATCAAAATTACACTTATTTGTAATTTGAGAAAACAGTCTTTAAACTTGCGGCGTAAACAGTCAATAGTTAATCCTTTTGTTGGTAAAATTTACTATTTCCAATCAACTGTTGATCAAAAATAAAAAAATTATCACCTCATGTTATATCTGGTAATTACATGTACAGCGCGTATATACATTAGTCTGATTTCTATTGCATGATAATGATCGATAGCGTTCTCGCTGATTGGCTAATCGCTTCACTGGTCGATGTGCATAAGACCGCCTACCCATAGACTGACACGCGCTGACGTATTTGTGTATTTGTGGTTGTGAACAATCAGTAATGTTTATTAGTCCCCAGGCAAAATTAAGCGTACGCGGAATCCTTACTCTGAAATATTGCGTCCAGCTGTAAAAAACATGCAAACCGGGACGCCGAAAAAAGGCGTCCCTGAGAACCCTGATATTACCTTGAAAATTGGCCAAGTCGGTTGTTTTTGTTAGCACATCTGTTGCCTCAGGTAAAAATAAAGACCCTTTCTGTAAGTTTTGATAACAGGAAAACATACTGTCATTCTGTGTTTGTGATATGAAATTTTAAAACATGTTTGCATTCAATACACCATAATATCGGTTTACAGTGTATTACACATATATTCATACGTACAAGCAATTAAATTTGATAAATTATCAATATTCAGCTTTTGATACAACACTAAATATGAAAGGGCAATGTGTACGAACAGGGAAGTCAGATAGAAAAAAAATTGTTCATTTTTATTTTACAATTTACGCTTTTAAGGTGTCATTCAATATTTCATGCACAGCTTCCGTTTCCAATCTGAACACTTCTTTGATTATTATTAATTAGGCAGTTTTATGTAATAAACTGTATCAGACAAGTTTTATCATTAATATTATCTGTGTCCTTGATTTATTCCAAGCATCAATTGTTTCACATTTAATTTATTAAGAATTCTGCATTCCAGCTAATTCAGTGATCATTTACACCAAGTACACTTATATCAAGATTTTCAAATACATCTGTAGCTCATTTGTCACATGTGTAAAATAGCAGAACTGAACTGCCACTTCTTTGAGGACTTATTGGAGAAGAATCAAAGCATAATATAAACATTTCTTTCAGGTGGTAAGATTATTACTTATGAGAGGGGCATCAGTAGACAAGACTAACCTATATGGGTGGACCCCTGTAATGCAGGCAGCTAGACACGGGCACGCTAACATTGTGTCTTTATTGCTGCAACATCCAGTCGACATTAATGCTACAAACAGCTTTGGTGCTTCAGCTCTAATGCTAGCAGCTCGTGGGGGACATCTACAGGTGGCTAAACTCCTGGTGGAGGCTGGGATAGATATCAACGGGTCAAGTCAGTGCGAGTATACGCCCCTTATGACAGCAGCTCAACAAGGGCACGATGCTGTGCTGAGATTGTTGCTCGACCGAGGCAGTGACGTGAATTACCGCACACCCTCAACCGGAGTAACGCCCCTCATGTTGGCCTCGTTGAATGGTCACATGACTACTGCCCAGATTCTTATTGAGAGAGGTGGCGACCCAAATATAATAAATGGGTTAGATCATACCGCGCTAACAATAGCTGCAATTAGAGGAAAGCGGGAAGTGCGGGGATTTTTGGAAAGGAAAACAACTAACAAGCCTATCATAGGTAAGCATACAGTCTGGCACCTACTATGCATTTAGAATTAGAATTTTCCTTTATACATGTAATAAACTTATGTTTTACAGTCTATTCACACTGTTGGATTATAAATTCTTAAGCATTTCAAATTTACAAGTTTATTAAGGGCTTTGTTATGTGGAACATGTCGATGGCTCAGCGCAATACTGGTCTAACTGCTATTTTTGAAAATGTTCAGGAGAGACAAAAAACTGATTTTATTCAAAAATACTTATATTAGAAAAATATTTTTTTGCTATGTTAACATTAATTATAATAAGAAATAATGCCATTTATATATTTTTTTATTAAAATGTTACAAATTGTGTATTATAGAGTTAGACCTTTATTGCGCTGAAATTCTGAGCGCAATACAAGACTAACTTGAGTTAGACTCAAATTCCCTCTTGCAATTTGGTAAAAGTGGTAAAAATATTTGAGTTAGACCTGTTTTATGTTAAATACTCTGATATATAAGAAATTGTAAATTTTGAACAAAATTGTTTTATTAATTCAAACATTGATTAAAATATTTTGCAAGTGTGTAGAAGAACTTTACAAAGACTAAATCCTGTAATATTTTTCTGTTAATATATCATGCGAGCTGACTTTAGATGAATTAAAGTACACTTCTTTCTTCTTTTTCAATTTGTTTGAGATTCAGAGTTACTTAAGATCTTTTGCAGATTATCTGTGCAATAAATTTGAATTCTAAACAAAATGCAAACAGTTTTGATTCATATAGTGTTATGAACAGTAGTCATGAACAATGATGACTGACGATTCAGTTTTGATTCATATAGTGTTATGAACAGTAGTCATGAACAATGATGACTGACGATCCAGGTATATATTATGATATCATCAAAGTTTGAAAACAGGGAATAAACATTTTGTATAACTCACATTTGTACAAAGAAGACACATTTTATTTTCTCAATGCACACCATTACCACCATTGGTGCTTAAATGCTGTGATTCCGATATTACTGTTATGCGCTAAATCTTAATGAATTTAATGTATGTGGTTCTCTTTTCTGATGATATAATCTTTTATAAATATCAAATATTTTCAAAAAATGAAAACCGCTGTTAGACCATGCTTTTATTACAACTTTTGTATTTACTTTTTCAACTGTTATGAGTATATTTGCAAATTTTATGACATGTTTTGCTGAAAACTGTGCATATCTTAAGAAAAGTGTTTCATTTTATATATCAAAGTCATTTTACCTCTTAATTTTGACCAAATAACAAGAGGTTGTCAAATATATTTTAGAGAAAAAAGTAGGGCAGTACAACCCTGTGACTATCAGGGATTCATAGAACAAAGTATTGTTAGCACATGATATAATTCAGAATCATTTTTGTAAAGTTAGATGTGCTTTTAACACTTGCAACCACTTACTCATTCAGATATGAAAAGGCGCACACCTGAAGCACCATGTGCACACCTTAGATTAGCACTAAACAATTAGAATGGATAAATGTTTGAATTTTCTCATTGACACTGATACTATACCAAAAGCAGTTGATAGTCATTACATTTTTAATTTCATTAAATTTGATAGGTAAAATTAATAGCTTTTAGATCTAAAATGAAACATTTTTATCAACTTATAGCTGTTTCTGCCACATAAGTCAAAGAGTTTTTGACAATTGCACTCCCGAAAATTCAATGGAGCTGTGTGATGTAAAAAATTATCAGAATACAAGAACTGAAAAGGTCATTATAATATATAAGTGTGCATATTTTGATTTTTGATAATAAGAACGGCGAGTGCATTGTTGTAGAATAATGCACGCTTCAGGCCTTCCTTGTTTATATAGAAAAAAATCCGATATAGTGTTAGAATTGACGTTCTATATTTAGACTAGACGTAATCATTATACACGTGACGTAACCACTAAAAATGTGACGCGCTGACAATATTATTTAGAACGGAAACAAATCAGGCGCAATTTAGCTAAATATCAGGTACTGCAGCATTTATTTGTTAATGTCGTGTTAGAATCGAAATTATATATCCAAATCGGTGATTTTATTGCTTGATAACATTACCGTTTGTCGTTCAGATGCGCCTCATTATATCACTCATGCTACGCCCTCGTGATATAATTCCTCGCATCTGAACTCCAAACAGTGATGTTAATGAGCAATAAAATCACAGTTTGGGATATATTATTTCTTAAATAACTTTACTCGATTAAAGAGAGTGATACAGAAGTAGATACATAATTTAAAAATGAAAACCCAAGATGTAACGCCCTCAAACCTGAAATTGTTCATTGTGTTACAGGCTAAGTTTGATTTGGCAGTGAAACAATGTACAGTCTACCACCTTACACCATTTTAAGCAGAACACATTATATAAATATGAACAAAGTGTAAAATTAAGAATTAGGAAATCTCAGCATATGATTAAACAAAGGTCAAACTAAAAAAAAAATGAATTTTTAGAGGGGGGTCAGAGGTTATGAATCCACTAGTGTAACACGTGTTATTTTCCATTTTAAATGTGTGCATGAGAAACATACACTGTCTTTTACTAAATTGTACAAAAATGATAGTTTCAACTGCACTTTGTGTTATCAAATAATACAGTATGAGTATGATGTAATGACTTCAAAGACAAAATAAATGTTTAATTGTGACACTAAATTATTATTAATTTTTTTCAAGATTTTTCGTTTACAGTTACTTGTACATGATATGCAATTGGCTAATATTTCGCGATTAATACAAAGCACTGATGGAGGCAAATAATTTCTAGTGTTTTCATGAATTCTCACATTCTTTATAACACATTTCAATGGGATATGCATATTATTCTGTACCTGGAAATGAAACATTTAAGGTCTAACTCAAGCATTTTTGAGGAAAATTGATATATTTGACATCGCAATAAGAGACCAACTCAAGTTAGACCTATACTGCACTGACAAAATTGAACTACCTGAGATAGACTTTTATTTTAAATGTAAATAAAAAAGGCAAAAAAAGCATAAATTACCCTAAAATTTTCACAGAATGTGTATTTGACCTTACATTATCAAAATATGTAAAAAAGTGATTTTGGGTAAAAATGTCACTTAGACCAGTATTGCGCTGAGCCATCGATGTGTATTGAGTAGGGCCTTGGGTTAGAACTGAATAATCTTTCGTTTCTTTGGTTTGTATAGAAATGCTACATGTGTACAATAACAATTGGCATGGAATTAAAGCTGCATGTCCCCAGATTTATGCTTATTTTCAAGAAAATTTTGAAAATGAAATTAAATGTATAATATTGTATAGTTACCAAAAAGAAACAATTTACACTTACAACCCACGTTTAATACAATATGCAAAAAAATGCCCTGACTGTGTTAGTAATGCAGTAGAAATATAGTTACACATAATGCAAAATTCACCATAAATCACTCATAACATGTAAATTATTACTTGACTACTTTTCATAAAATCTTAGTACATTTTTCACAAGTTTGATTTATTGAAATATTTTTAGCTCGACTATTCGATAAGAATAAGTAGAGCTATTGTAGTCACCCGAGCGTCGGCGTCGGCGTAACCACTTATGTTAAAGTTTTTGTAATAGTTCAAATATTTTCAAAGTCCATTGACATATGGCTTTGAAACTTTGCACACTTGTTCACCATCATGACCCCAACCTGTAGACAGGAGGAGGTAACTCTATCAAGCATTTGGACAGAATTATGCCCCTTTTTCAACTTAGAATTTATGTTAAAGTTTTTGTAATAGTTCAAATATTTTCAAAGTCCATTGACATATGGCTTTGAAACTTTGCACACTTGTTCACCATCATGACCCAAACCTGTAGACAGGAGGAGGTAACTGTATCAAGCATTTTGACAGAATTATGCCCCTTTTTCAACTTAGAATTTACGTTAAAGTTTTTGTAATACCTCTAATATTTTCAAAGTCCATTGACATATGGCTTTGAAACTTTGCACACTTGTTCACCATCATGACCCCACCTGTAGACAGGAGGAGGTAACTGTATCAAGCATTTTGACAGAATTATGCCCCTTTTTCGACTTAGAATTTACGTTAAAGTTTTTGTAATAGTTCAAATATTTTCAAAGTCCATTGACATATGGCTTTGAAACTTTGCACACTTGTTCACCATCATGACCCCAACCTGTAGACAGGAGGAGGTAACTGTATCAAGCATTTTGACAGAATTATGCCCCTTTTTCGACTTAGAATTTACGTTAAAGTTTTTGTAATAATTCAAATATTTTCAAAGTCCATTGACATATGGCTTTGAAACTTTGCACACTTGTTCACCATCATGACACCAACCTGTAGACAGGAGGAGGTAACTGTATCAAGCATTTTGACATAATTATGCCCCTTTTTCGACTTAGAATTTACGTTAAAGTTTTTTGTAATACCTCAAATATTTTCAAAGTCCATTGACATATGGCTTTGAAACTTTGCATACTTGTTCACCATCATGTCACCAACCTGTAAGCAGGAGTAGGTAACTCTATCAAGCATTATTTTTTACTATCAAGCACTAGAATAGTCGAGCGTTGCTGTCCTACCGACAGCTCTTGTTGCTGATCTGGAGGCATGCTGCTTTAAATACTCGTTTCTCAAAATTAGTGTTTGTGTACTGTTTAATGTGTTTGTCCCTATTCATCCCAAGGGATCATCATCATGGATTCAACTGTTACAGAAGTTGTTTTAGTGTTACAATGTATAATAGACATTTTGATATACTCATCTAAATAATGTAAATCTTTTTATTTTGCTATACATGACTGTACTTTTTCATGCCATATTGAAATATCCTGAATTTATACTTGTAAACAACAATTTGATCCTGAAATTGTTTTCAAGAGATAGAGATAGATATTTATTCAGGTTAAAACACACATACATGTATACATAAAACAACACTTTAGCATTTTATATAAAACTGATGACACAATTGTAATAAAATATTTCGGAAGTTTGTCAGACATAAATATCACAGACCGCTCATTAAATAATAAAATATTATAACTAAAAACAAAATCTAAAACTCTTTCTTTCCTATGACTAGATATCAATTTGCTAGTTTAATAAAATGTAAGGACGTAAGTGGAAACATGTATAGAGTAGTGTGCAATAACCTCGGATTGCCCATGAAAGCCCGAAGGCTTATTTCCAATGGGGTCCTTGGATATATACTTACTATAATATACAATATAAAACACAAAAACATTGAAAAATACAAAACTTTGGAAACTGGAAGATGTCATTTACGTAAAATATCAAACTTTAGTATTTCCATTAACTTTGCTAAAAAGAAAACAATAAAAATGAGATCAATATCTAGTCTTACTAGTGGATTTAATTATGATTTACTAACCTAACTGTTCTAGTAAATGGGCCTTTACAGAGCTTTTGAAATTTCCTATCTTATTAATTTTTTTGATGTATGTTGGCAAGGAGTTCCAATCATTAATTGCTTTTTGAAAAAAAGTTACATTATCTTTCCCATAACTTCTTGGGACCCTAAAATTGTACTGATTCGACCGAGTTGAATAAGAATGAATGTCTCGAACAGGTATAAAATTTTCTATCATATATGAAGGGCACTGGTTATTAACAATTTTAAAAACATGATTAAGACGTAATTGCTTATTTCTGTTTTCTACATTTAGTAAAGACATATTAGCAAGAATAACATTATTGACACTATCTCTAGGTCCCATACCGTGTATAAATCTAACAATTTTATTTTGACAAATTTGAAGCTTATTTTTAAAACACTTGTTCAGGCTCGGGTACCAAGAAGAACATGCATAATCAAGGTGACATTGTATTAGTGCTGAGCATAAATATTTTCTAGTCCTAAAATCTAAAACATCTGCTTGCCTATACAAAAACTTAAGACGTGAATTCACCTTTGTAAGAATACAATTAACAATAGATTCACCTGACAAAGAATCATCAATATTTAAACCTAGATATTTAACAGATTTTTGTGGATTCAATAGTATGTCCATTACAAACAATTTTGAACTCTTTAACTTGTTTTAGTTTACGTTTGGAACCAAAAATAAGACATTCAGTCTTTCCTAGATGAAGTGACAATTTGTTATCTACAAGCCAAGATGAACAAGACTCTAGTGTTTGTCCAAGTTTTTGAGAAATAATACTTGGATTTTTGTGAGCAAAAAGAATTGCACTGTCATCGGCATACAGAATAAGTTTACATTCTTGATCTATACTAATTCTCATGTCATTTACATAGCACAAAAATAAAAGAGGACCCAGGATGCTGCCCTGGGGAACCCCACATGTAACAGGCATGTAATCTGATAAAATATTATCAACACTAACAGTTTGTTTTCTACCTTTAAGATAAGACATAAACCAGTCAGTATTAGATATCCCCATCAATATCAATTTTCCACATAAAATATCATGGTCAACAGTATCAAATGCTTTTTGTAGATCTAACATTATCATGCCTGTGTATAATCCTTTGGAATTATTGTTTCTGATATGATCCATAAGATGGATAAGACAAGTGTCAGTGGAATAGGAATTTCTAAAACCTGACTGTAATTCATACAATAAACCATTATCAACTAAAAACTTTTCAAGTTGAGAATACACTGATTTTTCTAAAATTTTTGAAACAATGCTTAAAATGCTTACAGGTCTATAATTTCCTACTTCAAGATTACTGTTCTTTTTATATAAAGGTTTTACCCTAGCTACTTTCATGTCATCAGGGACATAATTTTCTGAAATTGACATATTTATGATAAAAGTAATTGGTATTTTCAAAAATGAAGCTGCATCTTTTAAAAATCTAGCAGGAATTTCATCTAAACCAGTACTCTTTGATGAGTTTAAATTCTTAAGCTCTTTATATACAAATGTCTCAGAAACATGTTTTAAGTACATTTTATTATTCTTAGTATTTCTATCATTATAATAATCTAACAAAGCTTGTGAGTCAATGTCAAACTTTTTTGCTAGCACAAGGTAACTTATCCACTAGCTTAGAAGCAACAGTAGTAAAAAAGTCATTAAAATGATTAGCAATTTTTAAAGGATTATGACAATTTTCACTATCAATTTTTAAAACAATATTTTCATTCCCTGTTGTTTGGATTTATACCCCAATTGTTTTAAATGTTTCCATAGGCCTTTTTGGATTATTTCTATTTTCAGCAATTTGATCAGTAAAATAAGAAGACTTAGCATGTTTAACTGCTCTTAGAACAACATTTCTAAATTTACAATAACAAGAAAAATCTTGTATTATAATAATAAATAATGATCTCTTGTTTTGATATGGTCTATATCTCTGATGACATTCAAGGTTCAGTTCTCTGTTTTAATCTAATTTCTTTAACAGGAGCAATGGCATTCAACACTGACATAAAAATATCTTTAAAAGCTGCCCATGAACTGTTTACATTATCAGAATAAAAACATTTACTCCAGTCTGCTTGACCTAATTTTTCAATAAACAAATCTCTACTATAATTTTTAACACATCTAACTTTAGATAAATAATGTTTTGAGAAACTTTGTTTGCTGATTTTCCTTGTACAAAAAGTCAAAAAGTGATCACTAAGGCCAATAGAAATAACACCATATTGACTTAGCCTATCTTTTGAATTGGTAATGATATGATCAATTATACTTTTGCTTGATAAAGTTATTCTAGTGGCTTCAGTAATGATCTGTTGTAGATCAAAAATTTTCAAAATGCTAGTGTAGGATTTAAAAATTGAACTATACTTTTGGTAAAAACAAATGTTAAAATCTCCAAGAATGTAACATTCACAATCTGATCTAAGATTATATAAAACATTTTCAAAATGTTCAATAAAATTTGATTGTTTTGGAGGTCTATATATAGTACCTACAAGTATTGGTTTGGTTTTTGGTAAAAGAATTTCAATAAAAATAATTTCATCATTAAAAACATTTAGGTCAGGTCTAGCAGTGAAAGCAATATCATTCCTCACATAGCAACACACTCCTCCTCCATGCCTGTCTCTATCATATCTTATAACTGTATAATTGTCAATATTAATTTCTGAGTCTGTAACAGACTTGTCAAGCCAGGTTTCAGATATACCAATAACAGCTGCTTTAGTTTTTAATGCAATTATTCTTAGTTCAGAAATGTCATATAAATCAATATGTGTCTACTAGTTGTTTAATATGATATATTGAATATATTTATAGGGCATGTTCAGTTGATGACATATCTAGAATCTTAACTGACTAATATCTGGCAATCGGTGACAATATACACTGTAATTTGGATATTTGATCCATAGGCTTTTATAAAATTTATGAATGGAAATAAAAATATTGTTTAAATAAGATACAGCCTTGTCATATTCTTATAATAATTTTGAATGGAGAGAATTGCATTGTGGGAAATACAAAAGTATATAACCATAAGGCTGTCTGTGCAATAGATTCTCTTTATAAGTTTACTTGGCTTTACTTCTATTTATTGACATGCTTTTGTTTGAATCAGTGGATTTCAGTAATAATTATATAAAAATATTTTGAAGCGAAACTTCGCATCAGTAGTCTAGCTTACCCTTAACATTAACATTTGGCATAAGCTTGCTTTTTAAGTTGTCTGTAAGTCTTCAAAACGACCAGTCTGCATAGCTGAATAGGTTAGAGCACAAGGCTTGTAATCTCTACATTGTTGGTTTGATTCCCAGGCTGGCCAACTAAAAATAACTTATCAGTCTTTCGGATGAGTCATTTTAAATTGTGGTCCCATGTATGAATGCTTAAATACTTGGCATGCTAGAAAACCAGGAGAAGCTTCTGGAATTGGGGTATATCTTCTGTATCTGTACCTTGCACTGTCCTTGAAAATCTAAAATGACTAATATTCTTCTGGAGGACTTGCTCATATGGGCAACAGGTGGCTACTCCTAGTATATGTAAGCTGAAATACACACACTAGACTTCAAAGAAGTCCTAACATAAGATTTGCATTGTATGGTAGCTTAAAGATACTTTTTTTCATTCATTGTAGTTATTTATGATTTTATTTTCAGAGCCTGAAGACAGAAAACCTGATATAATTGATGCAGCTAAAAGAGGTTTGTAGCAATATTTTAAGTCAGTAAGAATATAACATGCATTCATAGAACCCCAAATTTATGTAATGGTTATTTATTCTATGTTTCTTTTTTTGTGAAAGAAAAAGGCTGGTCTCCAAATATTTCAAAGACAAAAAAACATTGGGTATCTTTAATTAAGATAAAAGAGTTTTAAAAATTTCAAGTATTGTATCATTCAATCTATTCATTTTCATATCATTTAATGTAGCAATTATAATATATAACAGGTGATATACAACGTATACGTGATATACTAGATATCGACGTCAGTCAGCGTGACACATGTTCTCCACAAGATGGCGCCACACCTCTCATGTTTGCTGCGATGACAGGGCGAATCGATATAGCACAGTTATTGTTCGAGCGAGGTTGTGATATAAATAAGCAGGATACGATCAGTGGGTGGACAGCACTAATGCAGGCAACATATCATGGGTAAAATTTTAAATAAACATTCTGATTCTTAAAACATTTCTAGTTATAGAATCCTGTTAAAGGGATACTCAGGCAAATTTATGACAAAAATATCAAAATTATCTTATGTACTTGAATCATGCTAAAATGACATTTGTAAAAGTCCCAGCATGAATTTCTGTATAAATTCTATATATTTTGGGTTTGAAGCGTAAAAATATCTATATATGTTGAACAAAATTTAGACGTCGACAGAATCACCGAGTAGTTTTAAAACTAGTAATGTGACTTGAACAAACCGTGGAAGTTACAATAATAGATATTGTGGATGTAGTATGATTGAAACAAACCTAAATCTTCATTTAGCATGTTCTTAAACGTTTCCAGATACATGTAATTAATGTGACAATTATTAAGAGGTTAATACACGGCAGGAGAGGGCCGGAAGGTGATAATCGGCCCGCAAAATGAATAATGGACCCGAGGGCTTTAGCCCGAGGGCCATTATTCATTCAGGGCCGATTATCACCTTCCGGCCCTACGCTGACGTGTATTAATGTCTTTAATACACTTGGTAGATCTAATAGTAGCATTTAAAAAAACAAACAAAAAAATAACAAAAACATAATCAAAACAAATAGACTTTGAAGTTCTTTCGTTGAAATTCTTGTCTACTCTTCTACTGTTCTGTACAGAGATGTTTTCTGTTTGTGTGTTCAAAGCAGTAGAACCAAGAAGCAAGTTTTATTTTCATTTTTTTCGGAATGAATTTGTCGTATTATTTCTTCAAATTTCAATAGTAACAAAAATGTGTTTGTACTAAATACGCTTAAGGTCTCATAATAAAAATAAAGCGATTCGTGCTGACAACCTACTTTCACTTTTACAGTTAACTGTTTGATGACGTTAAATGTGACGTCATTGTTTCAGTTTGTGCACGTGCACATGTTCTGCGGGCTGATAACTAGTTCTCGGCCCCGGGCCGCAAACTCATAATAGGTCACGTGACACTCATAATCAGTTGAAATCATAGGCAATTTTGTTACTATATATAGTAACAAGTGTATTAATGTGAAATCTTAACGCTTAATGAAACCATTATATTATTCTTTATCAGGAGAAAAGTTTTGTTCATGCGAAGGCCTAGTGTATTCATTTTGAGGACATTTACAGATAAACGAATGAAAAGTTCAAAACGTAGAAATGAAAATTTTGTATCCCTCTGTGATTAAAACACAAAATCGCCTGTTTACAAACAAAATGAATGGAGATATATGCACTTTTCTGATACGTTGAAATAGACCAGAAGTTCCTGTTACTAGGAAATTTAATGTTAGGAATTGCTAATCTGGTGCAAATTTGTAACCTTTACCGTTTTATCATTCCATTGTTTATTTGCTTGGTATCATCGGCTATAGCCCACCAAACACCAGGTATTACTACACCTATCTCGTGTAAATTAAATCCTAAACTGCTGCCATTTTTAGCTTGAAATTTGAAGAATAGGGAAAAATATTGCACTCAGGTTGGTGTTGGAGGCTGTCTGTGTCACACTTTTGTTAAGTTTTATCGTGGAAGTTGGTACATGTGTATCTCCAAAACTACTAAACTTGATTTGACTATTTGACTTGACTCAAAAGAAATTGGTTGAAACTTTACATGGCCCCTTGTTCTGTGGTTATCTAACATGGTGAGTGTAGGCCTCATTACTCTTAAAATACCTTTTTACAGCGTTATGCCCCTTTTCTTTATATCATTCACTGAGAATAGTTAAGCACACTTCTTTACGGACAACTCTTGTTTGAGTTCCGACATGCGCAATGAGCATTGTGGTTTAAGGTTTAATGCACTTTACCAGTATGCCCTCATTTCTTATGTTGGTAAAGAGCATTCTACCCAAAAACTCAATGATGGCCTGATGCAATTGTAAGAGGTTGTATTTATTGTAATCAAGGTACATTAAACAAAACAAAATACCAAATATTTAAATTTCACTATCAATTTTACCATTAATCTTAAAATATACTTCAGTATTGACAAATTTTTGGATATTTTTTCAAGATAAGTACATTATCTTCATGTTAAGATAAGTTTTATTGTTGCTAGACTATGTGATCTAAGTTAGAGTGACAATATAAATTTGAATCATGCATTTGTTAAGTCATAAAATTTGGAATTTTGTTTGCAAAATAACATCATTAAATGTATATGCATGCATTACATTATGAAAGACTTTAATGTTGTCCGGATATTAATGTTAAGTCTAGGTAAAGAAATTAAAGGTGATAGAGATATTTGATTGTGTTTACATTATTTGTTAAAAACAAACTTATAATTTAGATGAAGTTTCACTAATCAAATATAAACATACACCTAAAGACTGCATTTTGTGGAGCAGACATTTCATAGTAAAGTTAGAATTATTTTGTATAATTGACAATTTTATCCTATGATAATTATTTGCTGGATTTAAAGTTTTATTGTTTATAATGGAATATATAATTTTTTATGCCACCGCAGCATCTGCGATGCGGTGGCATATAGCGATTCACCTGTGTGTGTGTGTGTTTGTTTGCGTGTGTGTGTGTGTGTGTGTGTGTTATATAGATTATATAGTGAACTTAAAAAATCTTCTTGTGAAAAACCAGTAGTCCAATTTCAACCAAACTTGGCAGGATTGATCCTTGGGTGAAGGGCTTCCAAAGTTGTTCAAAGAATTTCATTCCATGCAGAAATCTGGTTGCCATGGCAACCAAAAGGAATTATAAGAACAAATTTAAAAAATCTTCTTGTAAAGACCCAAAAGGCCTAGAGCTTAGATATTTTGCATAAGGCATTGTCTGGTAGACCTCTACCAAGATTGTTCAAATTATAGCCCTGGGGTCAAAATCGGCCCTGCCCCGGGGTCATTGATTTTCACTATATGTACATATAGTAAAAACTTAAAATACCTTATTGTAAAGACCCAAATAGCCTAGAGCTTAGATATTTTGCATAAGGCATTGTCTGGTAGACCTCTACCAACATTGTTCAAATTATAGCCCTGGGGTCAAAATAGGCCCCGCCCCGGGTCATTGTTATATAGATTATATAGTGAACGTAAAAAATCTTCTTGTGAAAAACCAATAGTCCAATTTCAACCAAACTTGGCAGGATTGATCCTTGGGTGAAGGGCTTCCAAAGTTGTTCAAAGAATTTCATTCCATGCAGAAATCTGGTTGCCATGGCAACCAAAAGGAATTATAAGAATAGATTTAAAAAATCTTCTTGTAAAGACCCAAAAGGCCTAGAGCTTAGATATTTTGCATAAGGCATTGTCTGGTAGACCTCTACCAAGATTGTTCAAATTATAGCCCTGGGGTCAAAATCGGCCCTGCCCCGGGGTCATTGATTTACACTATATGTACATATTGTAAAAACTTAAAATACCTTATTGTAAAGACCCAAATAGCCTAGAGCTTAGATATTTTGCATAAGGCATTGCCTGGTAGACCTCTACCAAGATTGTTCAAATTATAGCCCTAGGTCAAAATCGGCCCCGCCCCGGGGGTCATTGATTTTCACTATATGTACATATAGTAAAAACTTTAAATACCTACTTGTAAAGACCCAAAAGGCCTAGAGCATAAGGCATTGTGTTGTAGACCTCTACCCAGATTGTTCAAATTATAGCCCTGGGGTCAAAATCGGCCCTGCCCCGGGGGTCAATGGTTTTCGTTATATGTATATAGTAAAAACTTTAAAAAAAATTCTTCTAGCAATTGACAAATGCTAGAGGTTAGATATTTTGCATGAAACATTGTGTAGTGAACCTCTAGCAAGATTGTTCAAATTATAGCCCTGGGGTCAAAATTGCCCCCGCCCCGGGGGTCATTGATTTTCAATATATACATATAGTAAAAAATAAAAAAATCTTATTGTCTGTAGGTACAAGGTACAAGGCTTCAAAAACTTAAAATACCTTCTTGTAAATGCCCAAAAGGCCCAGAGCTTAGGTATTAATGCGGTGGCATAGCATTTTTCTCAAATGCAATCTTGTTTACAGGAAGAAATCTGTGGCAATTTTTCTGATCAATGTGGGTGCGGATGTGACTACGCAAGCAAAAAACGGCTGCACCGCGTTTGATATGGCGTCATTGATAGGTATGAATAAACAATACAACTTGATAGGAAAAAAACAAAGAAATATTTGCAAATTAAGACTAGATTATTAATAGGAAATAGGCGTTATACTGGTACTTACGTGATGTTTTCAGCCTCTGTGTCAAAGCAACTGTTTACTTACCTGTTTTGTGAGTGGGAGTCCTGAAATGGTAAAATGTTAGCTATTTTAGTTCAAGGTAACCAGCTAAATAGCTTGTTTAGTTCAAGGTAACCAGCTAAACAGAAAGCTAAGTTTAATGTTACCAGCTAAATAGCTAGTATAGTTTAAGGTAACCAGCTAAATAGCTAGTTTAGTTTAAGATAACCAGCTAAATAGTTTGTAGCTTAGCTTAATTAAGGTAACTGGCTAAATTGGTTGTTCTTTAATTGTGTAACCAACATAACTGCATATGTAAAACATTATTACAGATTTATACTAAGGGTCTATTTTAGTAAGATCTGGTAAATAACTGATATGATATTGTTAAAGATTGAACTTGATTAAAAAAAGTGTATTAATCTCAAAGGCAAGGTAAAAGTTGTTTCCAGAATATTTTTTGAAGAAATAAGAATCATTTGTTGGTTAGAAGTTTAGAAATTACTTCGGTCTTGTTTAATCATGAACTGTTTATTTTATTTTTTTACAGAGGATGCAGATACAGAGTTACTACGGTTACTGGCAACTCGGGCCATGCATGTTGATAAAGGAGAAAAACCCAAGACCAAACATAATTGGTCGAAACAAAATGGAACTTCAACATCTCTTTCACTGTCACCAGAACAGCTGTAAGTCAATACCGACTACACTTCTTTTTTTTTTGCGGGGTGGGGTGGGTGGGGGGGAGTATTATTTAAGTTTCAAAAAAAATTACCATAATTGCTAGATGCTTAATGAAATAGCTCTAATTTGCTAGGATTGTAATGCCTAGGATTTGATTTTCACTTGTAGTTTATTACAAAGACAAATAAATGCAAACAGAATGGGCATAGGGTCATACTTTAGGTGGTCCTCCTAACTTTGTATGGAGTTTGGGTCAAGGGTTGTGCTTCTGTATTTTTGATTAACATCCTTTGGCATGCTGAATATTTTTCAAATTCATTATTAGTCCCCTACCGGTTTACCGGAGGGGACGGGACTTTAGGTTTACCCTCCGTCCGTCTGTCCGTCCGTCTGTCTGTCAGTCCGTCCGTCCGCAAAACTGGATCCCGCGATAACTTGAAAAGTACTGAAAATATTTTTATGAAACTTGGTATATGGATAGATGGCAGTATGGAGATTATGCACGTCTTTTTCTTTTCTTCCTATGTTGAAAATTCTGGTTGCTATGGTAACAAATAGGCTAAAAATATGGCAAATTTTACACATAAACTGGATCCAGTGATAACGCAAAAAGTACTGGAAATATTTTTATGAAACTTGGTATATGGATAGATGGCAGTCTTGAGATTATGCATGTCTTTTTCTTTTCTTCCTATGTTGAAAATTCTGGTTGCTATGGCAACAAATAGGCTGAAAATATGGCAAATTTTACACATAAACTGGATCCAGTGATAAAGCAAAAAGTACTGGAAATATTTTTATGAAACTTGACATATGGGTAGATGGCAGTCTTGAGATTATGCATGTCTTTTTCTTTTCTTCCTATGTTGAAAATTCTGGTTGCTATGGCAACACATAGACTGAAAATATGGCAAATTTTACACATAAACTGAATCCAGTGATAACTCAAAAAGTACTGAAAATATTTTTATGAAACTTGACATATGGGTAGATAGCAGTGTTGAGATTATGCATGTCTTATCTGTTCTTCCTATTTTGAAAAAATATTAGTTGCCTTGGCAACAAATAGGCTTAAAACATGGCAAATATAACAATATTTGTGATTAGTCAAAAAGAGCTGAAAATTTTTATGAAATTGCATCTTTAATTCAAGATCAAGAGTTATCTCCTCTTTAAGAATTTTGCTTTTAAAATGTTATATTTTGGTAACAGGGATGTTTCTTTTAAAATGTTATATTTTGGTAACAGGGATGTTTCAAATATTAACTTTAGAGTGTCCTTCAGTCCGTCTGTCTGTCTGTTCATAAAAACTGTTTCCTGTGATCACTTTTAAAGAACTTTTCCAACAAGTTTACTTAAAATAGAGAAAAATTGAAACATAAGTAAATGGCCAATGGCCCTTCAGAATGTTGATGGGGTTCTAACCGGTAGGGGACTTATGGATTGCTTGCAATACTATGATAATTGCTTGTTTACAGATGACATGCCAATTTAAATTCAATTTTTGACGAAAGCAAAAGGTCATGACTCTTTTAACATTTCTCCCCTTCCATAATTTAATAGATAAACCTTTTGTAAAAAATGTGGTTGCTGTTATTAATCTGGGCCGAGGGCATGTGTTAACCAATCATGTTCTTGTTTGAAAGTTAATTGTGCTAAACTTTAACAATTACAATGAACAGTTCAAAGTCTAATATTGAATTTTAGCATGGTAAAAATTAAAATGTAACACTAATTATAACATAATTACAAATGTGTTTTCAGGCTAGATGATCAACCAAAAAGTGGCTTAAAGGTGATTGTAGCTATATTTTATACTATATTTTCATAAATATAATTGTTTATTCTACATTTAAATAAGCTAAGAAAAAAAAGTTTAAAATGCAATTCTCTTGAATTTCTCTTGAATCTCAATACATTTATGTTCACTATAAAGATTTTAAGTGACATTTAATATATTTACCATTAAAGAAAAAGGATTTTAAAAAAATATTTATGTTAAAAAAAGGAAAACAAAGGTTAATACATGTATATTTATTTTTGTGTGATAGAGATGTAAGGACTTGGTGTTCATTGCTATTTAAGAACCAATGGCACTCTGACCTTTAGTCCACATCTTAGTTAAGTTACTGTTTTACTATCAAGCACTAAAAAAGAGCCGAACAAGCTTTCTGTTAGGCAGTTTTTGTTAAATGACCCTGGTTTCAATACAACTTTTTAGGTACAAAACAAAACGTTCAGTTTTAGTAAAAATGAGACATAATTTTTTTTATAGGGCTGGTTAAACAGGTTATCAAACCGGTTTAGGAACCTGAAAATCGGTAGGACTTTTAATACTAACAATCGACTGATGCCACTAACTGCTGATGGTCAGTCGGACAGTATACAAGATCTGACGTCATTAAAACAATCTCACAGTAGTCCTCAACTAGTAAGTATATTTTGTGCATTTGAACACTTCAGTAAGTAGTAAAAGATGCACTAAAGATAATTGTCACATAGAAATTTTCAGTCAGTACACATTTTAGGTGTTGGTCTTTTCTGTATGTGACATATTTGCTAGGTAACATTTAACACAGCCTTTAGCTTTTCTAGAGGTTAAATCAGTTATTTTCAGATTAGTTGTTTCAAATTATTGTCAAAAGAACTAAGGTTGAAAATGAAATGTGTCGACGATAAAATACATAAACAATAGGAAAACCCCTCGATACCTCATATCTACCAGTCCCTGTCTATATTTAAATTAGTAAAGTGGATGATTTGTTTTCAGATCTTCTATTTATTGAAATGAACAGAACTTTCGCATCATAAATAGCTCTTGGGAAGCTGTTTTGAAGAAGGCTCAACAGTGATATGATGCATTTTTCCAAGCTAAAATTACAGAAGTTCTTAGTTTGGAACAACACAGAGTTGTTTTTCAAAAAAGAAAATAAAAGATGAAGATAGCTTAAATTACATACTTTTGCATGATAATTTGATGAATATTGAATATCACAATAATTAAGTTATACATGTACAGTATAGTAGTCTTGCCTGACTGAAGGAAATGAAGACTGGCTTTCGCTCGGCACTTCAGGGGAAATAAGTTCAAGTATCTTAAATTTCTAGCATTACATGTATATAATTTTTAAGGTATGTTTTATCAGTGAATTCATAGTGTTATTGTATTATACAAAGTGAATATATTATTTTGGAATGATGTTAACATTGTGATAGTAGTGATAGTGTAATATTGTTTAAATTTCAGTCTCCGAAGAAGAATAATTTTGTAATGGAGCCTGTGACACAGTCTATGACAAGCTACGAGACTATGAAACAGGAGACAAAGAAAAGTGCCGCCTTATATACCCTTGTATGTATCTTATATTTCCTACATCAATATCTGTTATATCTAACATTTATTAAGGTCCCTTTCTGGTTGAGTTGATAAGATAACTATTAGTACTTGAGCTCTACTTTTGTGGGTTTTAAAGCAGCATGCCTCCAGATTCATGCTAATTTTCATGAAAATTTTGAAAATGTTTTTAAAAGGAAAGTATGTTGAAGTGAAGAAAGAAAGTAATTTACAAACCGCACTTACAATCCATGCAAATTACCAAAAATTGGTTACAATGTGCTAAAATAGCCCTTACTGTGTTAGTCACACAGTAAAAATATTGTGGTAAGTACTGCAAAAGCAATCATGAATCACACAATACATGAAAACTATCACTTGACTTTCAAATGTTTTTACTTTTCTTAAAATCTTATATTTCTTGAAATATTGTGGCTTATCTAAAGGCATGCAACTTCAATGCAATAAAGGACTTTGATGAATTTTTTTTGTGCAGGGAAACCAAGCTTTCTTATGGAAGTTATATGGTTCCTTTCATGTACTTATTCTTGCCTGAAATAATGCCCAGCAGGGCATCCGAGGTCTTCATACATCAGTAAAATTTGGAAGTCATTACCCTCAGAGTTTCATTATAACTGAAATAACAGGGGAAAAAAGACACATTTCAACTTACAGTTAATAAAATGACATAAGAGGCCTGTTAGCAAAGATAACCCCATGTACTTCAAGTTTAGGAGAATAAGTATTGGGCATAGCTTATGTGGCAAATTTGTGAACAATTCAATATCAATACATTGCATCTCTGATTATGTTTGGAACGATAGATCTAGTGAACCTATAAACTTCTGGCGGGAAGTTAGTATTAATGCTTAATTTCGTGACTCTTTTTAAGTAAATTGGAGCTTATTAGTATGTATGACCCGAATGGTGGAATGTTGATAATGCCCAAATCAATGTAATTTTTTTTTCGTATCAGTAGAATATCATTAATTTTTTTAATAATAACTATTAACGTGATTTATATTTTTCAGGACATCAACCCTCCTCATTCCAACATGACAACAAGTGACACATTGAAGCCAGTAATTCCGCCATTTCTACCACCACCTTCATTTGACCTGGACAGCCCGTCGCGACCTTGGAGAGGTCTTGGTGGCCGATCTAAGACCACTATGACTGGCATTGATAGTAACAGTACTCTTGTAAGTGTACAAGTCCCTGACTGTCCCACTTGCTCGTTCAAATCCCGACAGGGAATTTGGATTCTTTCATGTGAGGAAGCTATCAAGCTAGCTTACAGAATGTTGGTGGTTCTAGACCACTGGTGGCTATTTTTGCCTGAAATAATGTATGGAAGGGTGCTTGAGGTCTGCCTCCACCAGTAAAGCTGGAACTTTGCCATATGACCTATACTGTGTCAGTGTGATGTAAAACCCAATCAAACAAACAAGCCTTGAATGTCTTTGACTCATATACAGCAATGTTTTATTTTCTTTAGGTTAAATATATTTATTTTAGCTCGATTGCAAAATAAGTTCTTGCAACTTCAACTTACATTTATAACTTTCCAGTCAGCTTCCTGGAACTAACCAGTTCAGCATTATGGTTGTTGCCCGAGTAGGGCTTGAACCCGTGAGCCCTTGGTTGAGAGGCATACATTTTAACCACTAGGCCATGCGCTTCCTCTTTATTGAGATTATGAACATAAAGATAATAGGGGTTTTATAGCCTTATTATATTGTTCTCTGTTTTGTTTTGTTGATATTTACAGATTTCATTGAAATTTTGTAGAAATACACATTAAACAGCTATTGATAGCTCAAGAAAATTTATTTGGGTCAATGTTTAATTACACAAATTACGACTAAATAAAGAAGTATAATTTGAAAGTTTTATGACTTTTTACATAATTATTATATGAATAATTTGCAATCCAAAACATAAAGTTTTTTGTTTTGTTTGAAACTTTATTTACAGTAATATGCTTTTAAAATCAAATCTTGTCATTTCAGAGTTCCGGTCATGAGCGGCCTATTTTACGTCCTATGAAGTTTTTACAGAACCACAGTAGCTATACTAGTCAAATATCTCCCACAAATTCTGCTAGATTTACACAGAATGGTAGTAACCCAAGTCCTAACTCCTCAGGTAATATTACTGTTTTAATTACTTTTTAACGATTTTTGAAAATAAAAAGTGCTAAAGGAACTCCACTGAGGTCTAAAAGCCTAAATATAAAAATTTGATTTGTGACATAGACAAGCTGGGCACTTAAAACAGAAAGATATGGAAAATGATAATTAAGAAATATACTCAGAAATAAATTGAAAATAGCATATTTGTGCAATTCTTAATGTGTTATGTGTTAAAAGCAACGCTTTTCAATTTTGTTGGAAAAAAAAAAAAGGAGTATGAAAGTTTCAGTATCATTTTTAGCTCGACTATTCGATAAGAATAAGTAGAGCTATTGCAGTCACCCGAGCGTCGGCGTCCGCGTCGGCGTAACCACTTATGTTAAAGTTTTTGTAATAGTTCAAATATTTTCAAAGTCCATTGACATATGGCTTTGAAACTTTGCACACTTGTTCACCATCATGACCCCAACCTGTAGACAGGAGGAGGTAACTCTATCAAGCATTTTGACAGAATTATGCCCCTTTTTCGACGTAGAATTTACTTTAAAGTTTTTGTAATAGTTCAAATATTTTCAAAGTCCATTGACATATGGCTTTGAAACTTTGCACACTTGTTCACCATCATGACCCCAACCTGTAGACAGGAGGAGGTAACTCTATCAAGCATTTTGACAGAATTATGCCCCTTTTTCGACTTAGAATTTACATTAAAGTTTTTGTAATAGTTCAAATATTTTCAAAGTCAATTGACATATGGCTTTGAAACTTTGCACACTTGTTCACCATCATGACCCCAACCTGTAGACAGGAGGAGGTAACTCTATCAAGCATTTTGACAGAATTATGCCCCTTTTTCCACTTAGAATTTACGTTAAAGTTTTTGTAATAGTTCAAATATTTTCAAAGTCCATTGACATATGGCTTTGAAACTTTGCACACTTGTTCAACATCATGACCCCAATCTGTAAACAGTAGGAGGTAACTCTATCAAGCATTTTGACAGAATTATGCCCCTTTTTTGACTTAGAATTTACGTTAAAGTTTTTGTAATAGTTCAAATATTTTCAAAGTCCATTGACATATGGCTTTGAAACTTTGCACACTTGTTCACCATCATGACCCCAACCTGTAGACAGGAGGAGGTAACTCTATCAAGCATTTTGACAGAATTATGCCCCTTTTTCGACTTAGAATTTACTTTAAAGTTTTTGTAATAGTTCAAATATTTTCAAAGTCCATTGACATATGGCTTTGAAACTTTGCACACTTGTTCACCATCATGACCCCAACCTGTAGACAGGAGGAGGTAACTCTATCAAGCATTTTGACAGAATTATGCCCCTTTTTCGACTTAGAATTTACGTTAAAGTTTTTGTAATAGTTCAAATATTTTCAAAGTCCATTGACATATGGCTTTGAAACTTTGCACACTTGTTCACCATCATGACCCCAACCTGTAGACAGGAGGAGGTAACTGTATCAAGCATTTTTTTTACTATCAAGCACTAAGAATAGTCGAGCGTTGCTGTCCTACCGACAGCTCTTGTTGAATTAACAACAGATTTTCACGCATGAAATATTTGATGCACATTGTATATTAATTAAAGGTGATTACCAGGGTACCGGGCTGTTCCTTCCACCATCATCATCATCCACATCATATACATCAGAGAGAAATCAAATGTTCTCGTCCTTATCTCAAACTCCTTCTAGACTCTTCATGCCAAGGTGAGTTTATATATTCTGTATACCCTTGTGAACATTTTGGTATATAAAACTTACTGTTCCTAGACATAGACTGGTTGACCCCAAAAATATGCATGATTTACTGGTTCATTTCCTACACTATTTTCCTCTTTGTATTATCCTGATGAAGGTCATTGTTTGACGGAAACAGATTGATAAATAAAGTAACATAAACATACACAGTGTTCTTGACATGTTGTTCTACATCCCTATCTTGTTTACATATAGTATCTTTCAAGATATCAGGTATCAAAAAAATATTTTTAGAGTCACTCGTCCTGTGTCCTGCAGGAAGAGTAGCATCGAAATCCAATATGCTGTCGGCATTTTTTCTACTCATTCAGGCATTGAAAAATGTTTTCAGAGTTACTTATTCTGCAGGATAAGTAGATGCAGGCAAATTTTTCTACTAGTCCTGCATCGAGTTCTCTTAAATTCTTCTCATAATTACAAGTGGACGAATGGAATTTTCATTCTCTAGACACATGTATTTTAACTTTATTTTAAAGAATACAACAAATATCAACAGAACATTTTCTAGCCAACAAAGCTTTTCATATAAAGAAGCTAGATATGTAGATATGTCGCTCAGTAGTTTACAATAGTGCTTGACGTCTATTTGTAGTTTGCAACTTCTATTTAGTATTCGTGGATTACTTGTAGGAGACCTACAGTTCCATCAGCATTTCGTAACATGTCAAATACAACATCCCCGAACAGTTCAACAAGCGGTGCTAGTGGCACAAGTGGTAGCTCCTCGGTCACACCGATACGATCCTCACGAGGACGGAGCACCTCTTCAAAGGGAAGTACAACTTCCACACTTACACCTTCACCATCTCCTACTCCTGGAAAGGTGAGTTGAAGTTAAATTTAGAGCATCAGAGTAAAGTAATCATTTTGCATTTGACTGGGAAAAATAGAAGAGAGTAATGTTAACTTAAAGCAGAGACAAATAAATTCTTCCATTCTTTACAAAGGGCAAACTTGAGTTTACAACATTGAAATAATGGTTTTCAATTTGGAGCATTTTTGATGTTTTTTTACCTGAAAAAAGTGACTTTGAATGTGAAACCATGTTTTATAAATGTAGCAAAATGTAAGTAAAGAAGTATTTTGACTTCCATACAAAATGTTAAATCACCAAAAACTATACCAATTGCCAAACAGCAACATTTGGAAAAGATGGTTCAGGTAATTGGCCAATGAGTAACATTATACTGTATTCCTAGAAAAGATTTCGCGCATTTTAAGTTAGCGCCTTTTGCGGTAGGCATGATTCCGCGCGAATAGGTCACTGAAAACAAACCCGCGAACATTGCTAGCTTCAACCAAATATAACATAAACGTGCAGAATATTCATTGTAATCTACTTACACAAAAATCATATGAACACAGGTGCTATAGAAATGTGTGAAGAATTATTTATGTATGTTATTGATACGAGTTTGTACCCTGAAAATTGAAATGTCAATTATTAGTAATTATCATGCTTATTGACGTTATTCGCTAGTCACGACGTTTACAAACACATTTACAGTTTGCGTACATTGAATGACTTGGATTTAATTTGCTTGGAGTAGGTGTAATCCTTTGTTAAAAGTACAATAGCAATTAAGTGCTATATTGATAAACAGCTGTTATGTTGTTATAATGAAAGCGATGTACAGTCCGATACTGTGTTAAAAAATACGTATCGACATGTTGAAGATAAAGTCAGTTATGATTCAAATGAGAATAAAAGCTAACGGGTCTGACTAAATCTTACTTAATCATTTAGTGAAAAAGGTAAGGAAATATAAAATTGTTCACTGAACATCTGTCCTTGTACCACTAGTTAATAGATAAAAAAGGGATCGAGTAACGTAGCGCTTTAGGCGCGACTTCAAAAGCACCCAACAGGCAAGGTCATGCATCAAAAAGGTAGCCTCCAAAAACTGTACTTTACACCGTAGCGACTTAATAAAACTGTACTTTACACCGTAGCAACTTAATATTCGCGGAATTCACGGCTACTACAAATCCGCGAAAGTTTGTCTCCGCGAAAATGCCGACGTTGTGAAAAACGCGAAATATTGTATCCGCGAACATTTCTAGGAATACAGTAGCTGAATGCCGAACATCAAAAGATTTGAGAAATAAAAATCATTTCTGTAGCATAATTGGGCTTTAAGTACTTTTAAAAGTTCAAGTTTTTATCAAAAAAGTATTTAAACATAACTGAAATTAAATAATAATTATTATATGAGTATAAAATACCTATAGTGAGCCTAAATTAATTCTAATAATAGATATAAGCAACTTATGTTTTCTAATGTTGTCCATAAAATATCTTATGAAAAAATTACTGTATGAACACTGCTTTATCAAAACCATAGATATATGATAAACTCCGCTTATAACGATATTCAGGGAACCGCCAAATTTATATCATTATGTCCAGACAGTGTGATATCCATTTTCCGATAACAAGAGTCGGGACTGCAGAAACAACATAGTTATAAGCGGTATATTGTTATAAGTGGTACATCGTTATAAGCGGTACATCGTTATAAGCGGTACGTCATTATAACCGCTATATGGTTATTAGTGGAATATAGTTTTAAACCGTATATCGTTTTAAGTCGTAAATTGTTTTAAGCGGTATATCGTTTTAAGCGGTGTATCGTTTTAAGTTGAATTTACTGTATTTACATTAATGATGTATGGTTTATGATTTTAGTATGCTGATGAGAATGGTCCTATGCTGGATTCAGTCAGTGAACACGAGGCTGGAGCTGGAGGTAGTTTACACATAATGTATTCAATTCAAAACTCTTTAAAAAAAACAACTGTATTATCATTTTAAATAATGAAATGCTTTGTAAAAGGTGTTATTTAACTATTTTAATTTTGTTGTTGAAAAAAAAAAAAAACACATGCACAGGCAATTGCACATAAACACATTTTTTTTTCAATTTGTTTAATTGGAAGATGTTTAAATTTTATATTTTCTATAGCAATGGTAAAAGCAACAGATAATATAATATTAGACATTTAACTTGTGTACTTTACTAAATATACCTGTAATTGAAATAATAGTACATAAGAAATAAAAAGTCTGGAAGAAGGGTAATCTCTCGGAAGCGTTAACCACAACAAAACTACATAAAAATTGCCGACTCAGTTTGATTGAGTCTGTACATGAGGGACAATGAAAAAGTGCAACATCCCTCACCGCCCCCTAGCACCGGCTTGAGCAGTACTAAATTTATATATTGTAAGTTATGATTTTAATTTGTTCTTCTTTTTCAGATGAGTTATCTGGTATACTGAAGAAGCTTTCCTTAGAAAAATATCATCCTATATTTGAAGAGCAAGAGGTTAGCAAATTTATCTTAATAGATGACTTGAAATATATTTTGCAGGGAATATTTTTATATAATAACTCATTACTTGGAAATACTTGCAAGTTCCTGTATTATTGATAAATTTATTAGATTTATGATGAACCAGAAACAAAACTCATTTAAGTGTTCATTTTATTGTGATTTTCTTCATGGTGTAATTTACTACACATACATCTTACAATGTATGGAATTACTTTTCTTCCTGTAGCTAGGTCGTTTTTTTCCTTATTTACTTAAAAAAAGGAATTTCTAATGCCAAAACATGTTTTTTTTCCCAGTTTAGAAGCATAAAATTTCCAAGCATCAATCTGATTTTGTGTTGTTGTTTTTCTTTGAAAATTATTTTTGTTCAGAGGGGAATCTCTTGAAATAACTTGTTCCAAAAAAAATGAATACAAAAAGCTATACATTTGCCTGGAAGCTATTCTTTGATTAATTAACTGGACTATTTAACGAATAAGGAGAGCCTTGTACTCAACAAGGCATTAGAGTCACGCTTTGCTTAAATTTTGGCTTGCAAATTGGTAGCTCCATAAAAAATCAGGAAGGGAATGACTTAAAACTTCACACATATATTTGAGAACATAATAGGATATCACTAACCAAGGCCTATAAGTCAAACCTGGTTTTGGACAGAATTATGGTCATTTTTGAAGTAATGAAATTCTGCATTATCCAGGCTCTTGTTTTACAATGAATAACTGAGAATAGTAGTATTGAACAAGTGGTTCCATTTGAGAACACTTAGATTTGTGTACTTGTGTATTTGTGAAAGGATAACAATGATCAAAGGGGAGTGGTGGCCTAGTGCCTGTCAACCCAAAGGATCATGTGTTCAAGCCCTAATTGGGTCACAACCATGTTTCTTCATATGACACCAGTTCTGGTGTGTTCCAGGAAGGGGAATCGAAAGTGATTAATATAAGTCGCAAGAACTTTTTTCGCATTCAAGCTTTGACAAATATGTCTTTACTAAACCAATGATCAAAGGATTAAGTAAAAATTAAGCGTTATGATGAAATATGTTTACTGCTTTTGTATGGAAACTTCCCGTATGCCGTTAGAGTTCTGCTCTAATTTTGCATATTTGTGTTTTGTTTCAGGTTGATATGGAGGCTTTCCTCACATTGACTGATGATGATCTCTCAGAGTTAGGCATTTCCCATGTAGAATCTCGCAAACAGATACTCACTGAAATTACTGAATTAAACACAGGAAAGGTAAATGTTTGTTACCACTGCTTTGAGATATGCATGTTTGTGCATCATTCATACAGAAAAACTTCTATGTGTTGGACTTAGATAAGTCGATTTTTTTCAATGTGTAAAAATAAAATGAAAGAATATATATTCCTTATCAAAAGCTGTTTATGAGGTGAATTTTTAAGTGGTTTATTTTTTCCGATGTTTTTTCATGGTCTGTAAAGAATAATTTGAGAGCATTTCACATCATGTCCATTGTGCATCATATATGTAGTGAATAATTTAAAGACATTAACGCAAAGTGACAATTGAGTAAAAAAAATCATAGCTTGGAAATGTTATTATAAGTTTAATTGCAGTATATTTTGTTTTTAAATGATATTCTGTAAACAATAAGACATAAGAAGGATAAAGAAAATTTAAATGATGTAATAATTAAGTGTGAAAGCATTTAATGTTTTACAACACATTTGTATTAATTATTTGACTTCTGATAGCCATTATAATGACCTAATTAAGGTCTTTAATTGTGAGGGCATTCGTAGCCAAGTGGTTATGGTCGTTGACTTCAAACCACTTCACTTTCACTGCTGTATGTTCAAGCTGGGCTTAGCTATTCAGTGTCTCTGGATTCTTTCATGTTAAAAAGCTATCCAGCTAGCTTATGGAACATGGGTAGTTCTACTCAGATGTATGTTTGTTCCTGAAGTAAGTTCCTGAAGTAATGCACAAAGGGGTCTTCCTCTAGCAGTTTAGCTGGAAAATAGTGATATGACCTCTACTGTTGTGGTGCGTTGTAAAACCTAACCAAAAAAAAGTCGAGTTTTGAAAAATGAAGCTCAGTCACTTTAAAAGTGATATAGAAAACAAATTTTTTTACTGTCTTCTTACTTATCAACTATGTTATAAGTATTTTGATTCATCATACATTTTCATAAGCTAAACCTTTCAACATTTAAACATGTATATTTTACAGGCTCGTGACAGACGACAATTCCATGATACAATGACAAATTTCCAGACTACTTTAAAAGCAAAACAGATGTCTGATGCTGGGAGTACCAATGGCAGTAATATAGAGTATATATAACTTTTATATACAATCTTGTTTGATTAGCTGGTCATTCAGTTTGAAACCTTTCACTGCCAGGCACCTATTGTATTGTTTTGTCAGAGAGGTTTTTATGAAGTGATGTTTCTATAAACCCCTTGTGGCTGAGAGGTTGGCCTTTAAGGGTTGAGGCATAAGAATATACTTTTATTCAAGAGTGATTGTAAGAGGCAATTAAGTGGGTTGGAATTACTTGGAGGAAAAAAAATTGACAAAAAAAAAAGACGCTTTAAAAATAATAGTGACAGTCAGTTAAAATATATCTTTTATTTCTTGTTTCTAAGTAATAATAAATGTCAACCTTTATCATACCTTTATGAAAATATTTGAAGTAAACTTTCAATTGTTTTACTTTACAGACAAATGTGGCTTAACCCTGGAGAGGTGGACCCAGACTCATAGGAAAAAATGATGTCACAATATTTCTCTAAACTAGACATCACTTAGTCAACCCATTCATTCATAGATCATCATTAGACAGTGCAGTGTCTTTCCAGTGTAGTTGTTAAGAGCCTTTGCATCTCATTTAACAGAAGGTTAATGCTGAGTAGCTGGTTTATCTACAAAATAATGCACAGAAGGGTGCCTTGGGTTTTCCCCTTTGCAAAGTTGAAAATTCACCTAAAGATCTTAAAATAATGCACAAAAGGGTGCCTTGGGTTTTCTCTCTTTGTAATTTTGGAAGTTCTCCTAAAGATCTTAAAATAATGCACAGAAGGGTGCCTTGGGTTTTCCGTCTTTATAAAGTTGGAAATTCACCCAAATATCTTAAAATAATACACAGAAGGGTGCCTAAAATAATACACAGAAGGGTGCCTTGAGATTTTCTTTTTGTTAAGTTGGAAATTTTCCGAAAGATCTTAATAGTTCTAGTGTTGCCCAACCATCGTAAAGGGAGGAACAAATCATCATGGTAATTTAATACCTTTAGGTCAATAGTTGATATTTACTTGTCATGTTTTTCTTATATATATAAAAATTGATAAATAATAGAAATATTGTTGACATATCTCTTTGATTTTTGAAGAGCATTTGAGCCACGTCATGACAAAATCAACATAATGGGTTTGTGACCAGCATGGATCCAGACCAGCCTGCGCATCCGCGCAGTCTGATCAGGATCCATGCTGTTCGCTTACAAACCCTATTATAAGTAGAGAAACTGATGGCGAACAGCATGGATCCTGATCAGACTGCGCGGATGCCCAGGCTGGTCTGGATCCATGCTGGTCAAAAAAACCCATTACGTTGGTTTTATCATGACGCCGCTCATTTATAAATGCTATATTTTTGACAAAATTTAGTTTAAATTATTGGAAAATGGTAAAAATTGATTATGACTTTCAGACACTGATTATTCTTAACCATTGTGTTTTGAAAGTTAGCTCAGAAAGTAGTGTTATATATATATATAATAAAATGAATCTGCAATTCTGTCTCATGAAATATTTATATGTTTTTGTTAAAATTATGTACAATAATAATGTAATTTTAAAACTTATATAATGATATGTTTATGTCTTGTTTTAGATTAGGTTATATTATTAGATTGTGAAAACCTGGTTCTATTTCTAAAAACTTCATGTGAAATCTAATATTGCAAAATCATTATTATTTGTGGAGAACTAAAGGAAAAATACCTGATAAATAGGCTAGTCTATTTGTGAATAGAATCATTTTATGCTAAAAATTACCACGGCAAACAATAAAACTTGGTGGTCTTTTAAGGTATTTTTGTATCCGGCTTTTATTGGATTATCGTTTTTCAACAAATTATTGGCTGTTTTGTATAAGAAATTTATTCGAACACAAGAAATGTTTCAAAACTTTTATTGTATGTGTCACATTTCCCATGGAGCTAGCCCATAATCGTGTCATTTGTCAAAGAAATCATTGAAAGTCATTTGTATAAGTTATACCTGCAGCTCCTGAAAGTCGACGGTACGAGCTTGACATGGTAAAATTTGAGACCCTTTCTTAGAAAGCGCTTTAAAATGATAAAAAGTGCTTATAAAGTCCTTGAATTTTGGCACTGGATGTCTGTATGAACCCAAGTTCTGGTTAATCCAGGTAGCTGATTCTAGAGTAATTGAGAAATAAATTTACAACTTAAATTGCAATTATTGATCTTAAAATAAGATAATAATTAAGTTTATACAAAAAATGTAAAGGTATGTCCATTTTCTAAATACATTTATATTTGCAAATACACAAGTTAAATAACATTGAATCCATTGAAAATTTAGTATTTTCATACAACTTGCATTAATTATATTGTTGTGGCAGTAAAACAATTTTCTTTGTCAAGTGTTAGAAATATTTTTGCTTACTATTGTAAGATCTGAATATGTTCTTGTCTGTGATGTATACTGTATTAGACACACATGTGTTGTGATTTACTTGTTAGCAGCTGATTGTTGTTTTGTATGCCCTGGAATTATATAATTGGTGACTTTGGAGGAAATATCTTTATTCTATTACTGACCCTTTGATATTTTCCTGAGAAATGCCAGAAAGTAATTTTGGTGTTATTTAAATTTGACAAATACCCATAAATGTGCTTTACTTTCAAGAGGGAATTTTTGAAATTTTCAGGACAAGGACAAGTCCATTAAGATATTTAGCTAGGTGTTATGGATTAAGGATGAAGCGTTGAGTTTTTTTGCTTACTTTCTTTCATGGATTATTTATAGCCAGTATTATGTCTATATTGTGTTGAAACTTATGTTTTTGTTGGTTTTTTTTCTTTAAAAATGTTGTATTTCTATAACTACATGTTCTTGAGTTTTACTCTTGTCCCCTTGTTTTTATAAAAATGTACGGTGGAGTGATTTCTGAAAGCAATTTATCTCTTGTGTTATTATTACTATTATTACATGTATTATTTTTTTATTGCAAAAACTATCTTTGCATAGAGAACTGTTTTGTTGACCTTTTGGACACAATATGTCACAATTTTCCTGAGGTAAGAAGCAGGGGATGGACTATACACAAGTTAATATGCAATAACATGTCCTCTGTAATTACTGACAAGATTTTTCATGTGACATTTTTTTTTTCAAAGAAGACTTGGATTTTATAGTAAATCACGTTCAGGATTATCCGAGACTATGTAAACGTTGATTGAACTAAATGTTGTGTGATTTGTGTACAGTAAATAAATGTTTTAACATTTTTGGAGAAAAAAAAACAACAACCAAAGACTGTTTAGCAAAGATACATGTACAATTTGGTATAATTTTGTAAACAAGTTGGTATAAATTTTATTGGTAAATACTATTTTGTTAACAAATTGGTATAAAAGTTATTGGCAAGTACACTTTTAGTAACAAATTGGTATTGAAAGTTTAACAGTTATGTATGTTAGTGTGTTTATAACATAAACTTGTTTTTCTCACACTGTTAGGGTATGGTTTTATTTTGATATAACAAGGTGCTGTATATTTATATGTTGGAGTGCTTCACTACATGGTAGATTTGTTAGGTATATGATATTTTAAGATATCACTGTTTTTTATGTTCACAAATTCTATTTGTATGTTATATTGTTGAACTTGTATCTTTTGAAATAAACACTTGACCTAAAATAAACACTTAACCTGAAATAAACACTTAACTTGTTGGACTTGAAAGTGATCAGCATTTATCATCAGTCAAGAGCCAGGCCAACCTGTGTGTCCCTGCACTATTACCAGGCTGTGGCTGACCAACATTTTTTTTTTATCTTGATGCCCCCCAAAACTGATAATGGTCAGTTTCAATCATGAAGGCGGACAAGTCCACTAAAGAAATTCAGAAGGGTTAGGGTTTAAGATTTGATGTATTGACAGTATGGGTTGATTCTGTTAGGTAAATATTTGGCACTCTGACTCGAATAACTGGATGAATTGAATATATACATGATATATGTAAGTACTGAGGTTTTGTTAATGAAATCAAAGGTTATTGTACATGAAATTTGTTTTTTCCATTTCTTTTAAACCTTTACAGTGCTGCATGAATTAGTGTCATACACTTTTTTCCCTGCTTTGAACTTTTTATTATTTTATTATTGCTGAAAGGATTATTAATAATGGCAACCTTATAAGTCATCAGAATATAACCTGGTCAGACTGAACAGATTTACAGGGTAACCTGGCTTTGTATACAAAGGTTTTGCAGTTTGTATTATTGCATGATTAGTTCATCAGGTTACAAATAATTGATGTTCAAAAGTAGATTTTTAAAGTAGTATCTTGGATCTCATTTGAAATGTTCATTCATTATAATATGTTAATTGATAACTTAGAAAACTTAAGGTTTTCTAAGTACAGGATATGAATTCTAGAAATTATTGGAACTGTATGATGTGGCAAATTTATAAACGACTAGAAAGGTATGCAGGCTGGCCTGCTTCTATATAGCGGTTAAACAAATTAATATGAGCCTCTTCACGACAAAACTAACGTAACGCGTTTGCGACCAGCATGGATCCATGCTGTTCGTATCAGTTTCTCTACTTGTAATAGGGTTTGTAAGCGAACAGCATGGATCCTGATCAGACTGCGCGAATGCGCAGGCTGGTCTGGATCCATGCTGGTCGCAAAGGCATTACTTTATTTTTGTCATGACGCGGCTCATATGTATACTAAGGTTCCCAAGGAATGATTAGAATGCTGTTGTTTTTTTTCCCATAAAGGTATTCACGGAATTGCAAGACTTACAAGTTCATCTCTATATATTTGCTGGGGATAGAGTTTAGTTTGGCGGACCCCTAAAATAAACAACTGTTCATGAATAATATGCTTTTATCCTGTTCAGATGTGTATTTCTGAATGTAGTCGTTGTTTTTAGAAATGAATATGTAAAACAGCAGGGCTGTGGGGGCAACAGACACAAATAAAAGCAAGTACATATATATTAATATTGTTTATCTTCTGGGGTCGGCTAAACTGGAAAGTGTTCCCTTTGCATGACTAGTCTCCCTCTTAAGAAACAAACTGAATACTAGTATATAAAGGTGGATTGTAGATCTTTAAAAATCTAGCTGTGTTTACTTGGCTATGTTTGTTAAACTTTTTTAAGCCTGATTTTAAGACAGGATTTTGTTGTTTTGGGTTGTTTTTATGCCACCGCAGCATCTGCGATGCGGTGGCATATAGCGATTCACCTGTGTGTGTGTTTGTTTGTGTGTGTGTGTGTTATATAGATTATATAGTGAACTTAAAAAATCTTCTTGTGAAAAACCACTAGTCCAATTTCAACCAAACTTGGCAGGATTGATCCTTGGGTGAAGGCCTTCCAAAGTTGTTCAAAGAATTTCATTCCATGCAGAATTCTGGTTGCCATGGCAACCAAAAGGAATTATAAGAATAAATTTAAAAAATCTTCTTGTAAAGACCCAAAAGGCCTAGAGCTTAGATATTTTGCATAAGGCATTGTCTGGTAGACCTCTACAAAGATTGTTCAAATTATAGCCCTGGGGTCCAAATCGGCCCTGCCCCGGGGGTCATTGATTTTCACTATATGTACATATAGTAAAAACTTAAAATACCTTCTTGTCTGAAGGTACAAGGCTTAGAGGTTTGATATTTGGTATGTGTTATTATCTATAGGTACTCTACCAAAGTTGTTCAAAGTTTGCCTCTAGTGTCAAAATTAGCCCCACCCCGGGGGTCATAGGTTTTTCATATATGTATATAGTAAAAACTTCAAAAAATCATCTTCTCTAAATTCACAAAGGCCAGAGGTTAGATACTTTGCATGAAACATTGTGTAGTGAACCTTTAGCAAGATTTTACAAATTATAGCCCTGGGATCAAAATTGGCCCCGCCCTGGGGGTCATTGATTTTCAATATGTATATATAGTAAAAAATAAAAAAAATCATATTGTCTGAAGGTACACGGCTTAGAGGTTTGATATTTGGTATGACGTGTTATTATCTAAAGGTACTCTACTGAAGTTGTTCAAATTTTGCCTCTTGTGTCAAAATTAGCCCTGCCCCGGGGGTCATAGGTTTTCCTTATATGTATATAGTAAAAACTTAAAAAATCATCTTCTCTAAATTGACAAAGGCTAGAGGTTAGATATTTTGCATG